AAGTGAAGGATCCAATGATCCGAGTGAAGAGGAAATCAAGGGTCAAGTCAGTGCCACTCCAACAAATCAAATGGGTAGTTATAACAAGTTTGATAAGGTTAGCGAAAAATTTTATTTAAACTCATATAACTTCTTTCTACACCCAATCTAAATTTTAAATGTGATTTTTCTTTTTTATCCTATTTCATAATTACCATAAAATACAAGATAAAATTGACAATAAAACTAAAATATATCAATAAACTCACTCTCAATAATTAAATCATTACTATCACGAAATTTTTCTCTTGCGTTCTATTTTAAAGAATATAAGCTCTTTTTGACAAATAGATATTGATTTTAAAGTTTTCGATTCTCCAACTAAGGTATGAATTGATTTATGAGTTTTTATTTTATGAAATTAAAGAAAAAATTCGATGTGCCATTGTTGGCGCATCTAATGATATGATGGACTCCCATTCCTCAAACAATTCTTTCAATCCCTCAAATATGGTTTAGCTTACTAGGGGCCTGAAGCATTACAAGATAGCTTATATTGTTTGTTGCGGGGAAAGATTACTTGAACATTTTCCACACCCCTTTGACCTCACCTAGATTAAAAGTGCAGGCATCGAGGTTAATAAAAAAATGGTACGGCTCGCGTTGCTTCAGGGTTTCATCATTTCTTCCGACTTTTTGAGGGCTTGCTCTGCCTTGTCAGAAAGCTCCGTGTTTACATAGATGGCAGCCAGGTTACTATCTGTTGACCAACTGCATTTTTCTACGCCTTGTGTTTCCATTTTCTCCAGGACTCTTTTTACTCCTTCAAAATCATTTAAGGCCGCGTAGCTCTGCACCCATATATTATAAGTAAGCATGCCAAATATGAAAGAGAATGAGAGAACTTCAACTAATGAGTACACACCCCCTCCAAATGGTACTGCACTCTCAGTACCTAACAGAGAAGAGATGTTTTATCCAAAAAAAAAAAAACAGAGAAGAGATGTTTGGTCTCTTACACAAATTGACGGCACCTAATACAAATGACCAAGAAGTTTCTCAAATTCTCACCAGAACCGAAACAGTTTGATACCACACCACACCGAACCTAACCAAATGGTTTGGTTTCATTTCATTTTGACATCGAAACTGCACCACAAAAAGTTTCGATTTCTATTGCGGTTTCACTCAAAACTGTACCGAGCCGAACCCTACCCACCCCTAATCCTAACCCTATATATCTTCAAGTCTTTTGTGTCTTCATTCTCATATTTATTTTATTCTATTTCTAATCCAAACTCAGATTTAATTGTAAAAAAATTTTGAGGGAGGCAATGACAGTTGTTGATTTAGGGTTTAGTTTTGTCAATTTAATGAAAGAGCGAGGAATAAAGACTTGAAGCAGACTGATACTTGATTTGCTTTTATATCGACATTTTGAATCGATCAATTGAAGGAACGACACTAATTTTGACAATGTGAGTGATAGGAATTCGAGGTGTTGCAGTTGGACGAAGCAATTCGGATAGTCGTGCTTCTGCATTTGCATCCGAGATGGACGCCATTTTCGTTTCTTCCTTGTGTTTGCAGGACTTTTATTTTTATTATTTCCTCAGTTTTTATTATTTTCTTAGTTTTAATTTTTATTTATTTCTTAATTATAAATTTACACCTCATTTAATGTTTAAAATCCTCTAGATAACTCTTAATCAAGACTATTGAATGTTACGAGATCTAAAGGCTAAGAAAAAGTGTAAAAATGTTAGTCAAAATCTTTGTCCCTTTATCCTATATATCAAAAACCAGTTTAGCGCAAATGATTTATTAGAGAGCATAGCTCGTCAACATTAAAATTAAAAAAATGACCAAAGTTCTTGTTTATTCCAATGATGAAGTTCATAACCCAAGTTCCATTATCCGTCTCACATAACAACAAAGAAATTAAAATTACGTAATTAAGGAGCAAATGCCGTCGGAACATCCTTGTTCCAGTAATAGCAAATGTTATACGAATTGTATTCTGGATTCAACCTGCATGGACCCGTCGGTACTATTCTCCAAGTGCACTCATCACAACCTCCCTCATCTCTATCTTGTATGTATATGTCGAAGTAGCGATATACAGCCAGCCATTCGAACCTGCACCAGAATTGTGTACGCCCCAAAAGATGTAACCCAAACGAAAAGTCATAGCTACCTTTAAAGGGAACCACATGAGTACCAAGATCATCGTTTTTGGATTTGCAGTGGACGGTCAATGGTATATCTGGACCAATATCATTATGCATTCTTACACGAACTGCATCACACATAGCTAGAAACAACGACACTAGAATTATTAGCAGAAACACATTTCTGATGAACCAAGACATAGTGGTATTGTTTGTTGGAATATAACGCTGAATTTCTTTGTGGAAGAAGACTCAGATATATCATATTTTTGTAATCGCAATTGGATAAAAATTCTCAGGTAATATAGGAAACATATCAAAATAATCAGTCTCTACAGATTTAGAGAATCCGAACAAAAAATTCTTAAGTAATATAAGGACATAAATCCAATTTTATCTTGTGAAGAAACGACGGTTTTAACCTCATCTATTTCCGTCTAATTTTTAAATAATAATATGTTTAAGTTATCATGATTTATTTCTATAAACAGTTTAATTAAAAAATTATGTACAATTCTTAAAATTTAAATATTTAAGTTGAATAAGGTTTCAGTTTCAGATAGAGCGTATTTGGATGTAGTCCTTAACCGCTAATACACTGAAACCTTATTGATGATTTTCAAATTTTTATCAAAGTTCTTTGTTTTCTTCACAACCAAAAACAAAAAAAAATTCAAAAAGGAGGACAAAACTGGTTTTAGTTTTTATTAGGCACTTATATGGTTATGCATGTGTTCCTTGCAGATTTAGGAACGATTGCAAAAACTCACTTGATGCTCTGGAAATTGCTTGGTGATTCTATTCGGCAGGCCTTGAAAAGTCTCATCTTTTTGTTCTTGGTTATTTTTCCCTTAATGTATATTTGTCCTATTTGTACGTTTGGTGCAAGTCTATCTACTTATTATTTTGTTTGTTGTCATCTGTGAGAAGGGTTTTTTATTATTCGCATGATGTTTTGCAGGATGAATAAATAATAGATTAGGCATGAGTCGCCATACGTGTAACTGTGGAAGATAACTTTCTTCGTTTTCATTTAAAACGGTTTACAACGACATCGATTATTTATGTTGATTGTTAACGTAGAGGTTGGATTCAATGTATTTGATTGAATTGTTTGTCTCATTATTTATTGTTTACAAATGAAATTTTCTCCTGGGTGTTGTGCGCTATGAAAACTCATTTTTTTAAGCACTTCAGACTCTCTTAAATATTTGCTACTTTTTGTACAACTCTGTCTCCTCATATTAATGATATTTGTTTTCTGCTTGGATGAGTTTGTGTATTGCTATCGCCCAAATATGTAGCTTATGCAGTCGGAAGTCCATTATTCCTTGCATGATAGGTGTTGCTGCTTCTTGAAATCCTAATTGCCATGGTTCTGCTGCATCACAAGGAACAATTGTGAGGAATAGTCATTCTAGAACAATCATTCGAGTTGGTTCATTCTTTAAGGTATCGTTTGGTATGCAAACGGGACGGAACGGAATGGGACGGGACGGGATGGGACAGGATGGAACGGGACGGAGCGGGAGCAAAGATGCCCTCGGATGTTGGAACGGAACGGAGCGGGAGCAAAGATGCCCTCGGATGGAAACAAGGAGGAAGAAGAAGGAGACGGAGAGGTTATAATTTTATGTTCCACAGATGTGGAACGAGTCGTTCCAGAGGGATGAGGCGGAACGAAAATTCACCCAAAACTCGTGCCATGGAACAGCTCGTTCCACCCATTTTAGACGCATCAAACATGGAACGGAACGCCTTGTCCCACTCTGTTCCGTCCCGTCTCACGTACCAAACGGTACCTAACTGCTCCGCCACACCCCCCCCCCCCCCAAAAAAATATAGACATGCCACGCTGTACGAAGGATCTGAAGACCGTCCACTCATCTTTGGCACTCCATTGATAACAATAGAAAGAGCGATCCACAGAAGCCATTGAAACCAGGATAAGAGCGTCAACTTCATTCAACCTACGTGAAAAGCATAAAAAAAATGTCAATGGAGTGCAAAATGAAAAACAGTTTGACAATTTTTTTTGGCTTTTTTTTTTTTTTGTTACACAAATGTTCTGGTTTCTCCCCCAAAAAAAATAAAAAAGAAGAGATACTTGTTCTACATGCCACGCTGTACGCAAAGATCTCAAGACCGCCCACTCATCTTTGGCATTCCATTGATAACAATAGAAATAGCGATCCATGAAAGCCATTGAAACCAGGATAAGAGCGTCAACTTCATTCAACCTATGTGAAAAGCATAAAAAAAATGTCAATGGAGTGCAAAATGAAAAACAGTTTGACAATTTTTTTTGGTTTTTTTTTTTTTTTTGTTACACAAATGTTTTGGTTTTGGCTCTCTTACTCTTCTGCATTTTCTTTTCCTTACTCCACTCTTTTGTTTTTGCCTTTCGGAAATGCAATATGAATTACATGTTCTGTGGACAAACTTCTATGTAAGCATAAAAGGTTTTTGGCTTATGAGAGACTGCATAAAGATTGCTATGCTTCAAGACCTTTTCGGTTCTCTTTAGATTATTGTCATAGATTTAATTTTTTTTCTTTCTTAACACTATTTAGTTCCTTGGTGTATTTCTTCCTTTATTTTTCGGTTCTCCTTAGATTATTCCCATAGATTAATTGTTTCATTTTTTTTTCTTAACAATATTTGGTTCCTTGCTATATTTCTTCATTTTTTCTTTATTAACCTCTCAGAACATGCTTTCATGCATGCAAAAAGCCTTTCTTAAGGAGCACATAGCGCCCGTAATTAAAAAAGAGATTAGTAGTTAATTAAACAAAATAGTTTTTGTAATGAATTTCGTTGATTGTTATAAAATAAAATTCGAGGATAATATTGAAACACAAGGGGATGTCATCATCATTCAACAACTCCAACATAAAAGGCATATGACAATCCAATCCGGTTTTAAGATGTTTACATAGATGCAACGATGCTCACACAAGCACACAATTGAATTCGGATAGCCTCAGTTTGGAACTTTAAATGTTTAGAATACACTCACTCAAACATGTAGCACAATACCACTCAGAGGAAAACATGCCTAAACCCTTTTATTTAGTAGGTAATTAAGTACGGCATGCATCTCCGTATATAAGGCGACGAGTACTATGATCACTCATCGTCATAGCTCTTGCGATGGTGGTGCTTGTGGCGGCGCTGGTTTTTCTCCTCATCGTCATCTGAGTCGTCATTTCCCTGTCATATTCAGATAAGAGAATCAGATGCAAATAACGCAAGCCAGCCAACAGTGATGGGCAAATACCAAAGACTACAGAAGGGTAAAGTTGATTAGGAAACAGAACATCAAAGACCTATATGCATTGCATAGATTCGAGCTTTTCGAAACAAAATTGAGGACACGTTCGGAAACATCATGGGATTTAAATTGTCTAAAACTAGAACAACAAAAACATTGAGGCAAAACAATGCACCCAATTTTGTCGAAACTGACTTAAACAGATGACAAGTTCATATGATTCGTACGTGTGCACAGATTCAATGTATGTTTACGAACTAAGGAAGCTGTATGCTTACGAACTAACACACTAATACATCTAAATCACTAATGATAGTGTTATATAGAAGACAACTTGATCGTTTGGTGTCTAATTTTCGATATGACTCGGTAGAATCTTCAAGCTCTTCTAATCCTACTATTTCGGGGAATTGGAAGGGATAAGTCTTAACGAATCCATCCTCGTACCTTCGAGTTGGACAACAGTTTTTCATTTTCTTATTAAACATACATTGAATATAATGAGTCGTCCAATCCAATCCTAAACATCAAACGAATCCTATAAACAGTTCGTCACCCAACATTATAAGCCTTGGATTAACTCAAATGAAGCAATTAGCCCATCATTAATAATTTAAAATAAATACCACGAATATAAACATATAAATGACATTTAAAAGAGCGAGGTTCTCACGTATTTCTTGCGACCATAGCCTTCTTCACCGTACTTAGGACGCTCGGAATCAGAATCATCGTCGCCGCGCCTCTCATAACCACCAGGGCGGCGGTACTCCTGCTCCTCGCTCCTCCCATAACTGGGCTTCTCATACTCCCCACTTTCCTGGCCCTCGGAGCCGGGCCTCCCATAGCTTGGCCTCGGGGGTGGCGGCTCATCTCCATAGCCTGTCCTCCTCGGCGGCTCTTCGCCGTAACCCGGCCTCTCAAACTCAGTCCTCCCATAGCTCGGCCTCTCCTCGCTTTCTGGCGTCTCATAACTGGGCCGCCCATAGCTTGGCCTTCTCGGTGGCTCTTCTCCATAACCGCCTTCCTCACCATAGCTCGGCTTTCTCGGCGGCTCATCGCCATAACCAGATTCCTCACCGTAGCTCGGCTTCCGATCATACCCAGATCCGAATTCGGCTGGCGGTGCTTCAAACTCGGGCTTTCTCCCGTACCCAGATCCATATTCGGACTCGGGTGCCTCGTACTCGGGTTTTCTCCTGTACCCAGATCCATACTCGGGTTCCGGTGCCTTATACTCGGGCTTTCGACCGTACCCAGATCCATATTCGGACTCCGGTGCCTCGTACTCAGGCTTTCTCCCGTACCCAGATCCATACTCTGGTTCCGGTGCCTTATACTCGGGCTTTCGACCGTATCCAGATCCATACTCCGATTCGGGCGCCTCGTACACCGGCTTCCGACCATACCCAGATCCATATTCGGAGCCGGGCTCATCGGATTCGGGCCTTCGTTGATACCCAGACCCGTATTCCGAACCGGATTGTCCATACTCCGGCTTCCGACCATAACCCGATTCGGGCCTCTCCTCCCCGCCAGGCTGGAACCCATAGGCCGGCTGGGGCCTGCCTTCGTACTCTCCCTCTGGATGTCCCCCGCCCGGATTGAACCCGATAGCTGGTCCGGGTCGGTGCGTGGGTCGGGCGTAGTGAGTGTACTCGTCTTCGAGAGCCTCGTCAGCGTAGGCGGCGGGCTCGGAGGAGGATGAGAACTGGGGGCGATCGTAATCGAAATCATCGGACGGCGATGAGTTAGGGTGGCAGGACTCATCGGACGGGTCGAGAGGGCGGCCGTAGGTCAGGTATATGTCGTATCCGCCACCGTACGGAGTCGGATCGTACTCGTCGAAGTCGGTGACTTCATCCTCGCGTGCGTGTAGTACGGCATCGTTTTGCAGGGATTTTGGTCTCGGAAGTACGACTGTCAAAAGTGATGAGGGGATGCGATCTGGGTGATGTGTATTTGGCGATGTATATTTATAGTTGTCGACTGCTTTTTTGCCGTTGGAAAACCGCGTCAGGTCGTTGCCTTATTGTTAATGACACGCGTACGGTTTTTATTGGGCTGTCATTTTGTAAAACCAATTGACATAACTTGGGCTTAACCAATCATTAATCCTTATCCGAAATTTAGTGGGGCGTTGTAGACAATTTGGTGGGCCATTGAAATGCTTCGGATTTCCTTACCTTTGGGCTTATACCGTATTTGATCGGCATATTTAGTACAGTACTAACTGAAATGGTTAATACAGAGAGTTGTTGAGCAAAAGGCTTCAATCTGTGGTTTTGCCACCAGTACATGGTGCACTTTTTAATTAGTATTTATTCGATGAGAAATATTGCTGAAACTATGTCTTAAATTGTATGGATGACATGTTTTTGATAAAATTTTGAGAAATAAAAAACTTAATTTACTTTTGAAATTCTGAGCGGGGAGGACGCTTTATGTGCCTCCGCTTCTGTCTGGCGTACCGAATAATCTCTCCTCAAATTGAATACTAGTTCTATTATACGATTCATCAAACTAGGAAGACTTGTACATGTGTGATTTTTCAAGGCAATAAAACAACAAAAACTTAATTCATAGGGTGTTGAGACAATACATCATTTGTAATGAATGAGGATCCTCTACGGATCCTCTTTGTTAGGATTCCAAGGATTCTCCAATCACGTACGTTCATCGTATATCGTACAGTCAGAAATTATTGTAAATTTTTTTATTTAGAATTGAATATAAACAATATCTGATGAAAACTACGATGAATGAATGTGATTGAAGGATCCACGGGATCCTCACAAAGAGGATGCGGAGAGGATCCTCATACATTTGTAACGACCATAATTTGAGACAAATTTAAAATCAAATTAAGAAGGATGGAACAGGATATGAATACCCGACGGATGTTAGCTACTGAATTGCTTGGTCGCTAGTACAACATCCCGGCCACCACGACGAAGACTTCATGCATGCAACAGTTAACAACACAACATTTAGATACAAACACCTAAACAAACACTTTGTATAATTGTATGCATGTCATTTGATATGCATGTATAGTAGTTTCTCTCATTCCGTTTAAGTAATGCAATACGATAATAAACACAAACATACGTGCTTGTCACTCGACAAACCTAATCCAAAATTTTAAAACATTTGATGTTCATGTTTTTTAATGTGTTTATCTCTTTAATCACGGGCAAGACAGACCAATAAACACATAAAACTTACGTGCATGTTTACTAAACAGATCATGTAAGATTCCAAATAAAGAAAACGAGAGTAGTGTCTCACCAATTTTTTGCGACCATAGCCACCTTCGCCGGCAGGAGTACGCTCCTCGTCGTCAAAAGACTCGCTTTTACTCCCTCCTCTCTGTTTCCGGAACTGGTCGCCCTCGTACGACGGTCGGGCGTAGCTGCTGTACTCCTCTTCCAAAGCCTCGTCGTCGTACGCAGACGGCTCATTGTACGACGAGAACTCGGGCTCATCGTAATTATCAGAGGCCGAGCCCGACGAGTGATGGTAGCACGTCTCCTCCGAAGGCTGTAAGGGCCGGCCATACGTCAATCCCATGTTGTATCCCCCCTCGTACGGCGTCGGGTCGTACTGGTCGAATATGTCGGTGTCGTCGTCGGTATCCTTCTCCGAGTAGTACGAGCGGTAATGCGCCATTATTATTTAATCAAGGAGATTAACTTTTCCTAATGGTGATCAACTCCAAATGTTATTAACGAATGACGACGAGAATAATAGTATGTCTTAAATATTGGTTAATGCTCCATTTATGGTGGTTGACAATTTCTCCTGCGAAAATACCGTGTCAGGAATTTACACTATTTCATTCCCATTGTTTGCCGGAGACTTTTACTGTGGTCTGCATTATTTTGAGGGTTTTGTTTAAATTTTGTCCATGTAATTATTGGATATTACTAATTATTTGCACCGTTATCAAAATAATGAGGCTTTTAATCACATGGTCGTGGGTTCAACTCTTACCGACAATCCTAAATATTAATGTACAAAATTAGTAAGATTTTGGAACAATGTAAAGTGTTAAGGTTGTGACCTTCGCAAGGTTGCTCCGGTCACTAATTGTAGGTAAATATGTAGAAAGGTAAATATATGGAAGCAAACACAAGATATACGTAGTTCACCCCAAATTGGGCTACATCCACAAGGGTAGAGGAGTTTTCATTAATAGTGAAGAGTTTACACAGTATATAGGTTCAAACACATTAATAGTGAAGAGTTTACACAGTATATAGGTTCAAACATAATCATCACTAGTGAGTTCTATAACAAGTTTAAATACAAAAATGACATTAGGGATTAATTGTAGGAGAATGGTCTCCTTTTGTAGTTAAGGACAATCTCCAGATTTCGTCTGGGTCAATGTGGGACTCTAGAGGCTTTATTCTGGTATTAACATGTGTTGTGTTGTGATTGGCCTCCTCATTGGAGAGAAACTCTTGTGCTTCAGCAAGGATGCCTCAACATGAATTCTTTAGTAGGTCCCTAAAGGTATGAAGTTGATCGATACTTGATGGTTTCGGAATTGGTGAAGTATGGTACAAACAGAAGTAATTAGAATTGAATATCGGCAACATATAAATTAAATGTCGACAATGGAGTAACAAAGTATGGGGAGATCGGTTATTCTCACTACTAAAGATTAACGTTATGACGTACCCATAATCTCAAGCTAGAAAAACTTACGCGTGACATCTAACCGACAGCTATCACCGGTATAATTTACGTAGAAACTTACGGATCGGGTTAGACACATAACAATTATATATCAAACGCATACTGATCATTTCAACAATTAAAACTTAAAAATATCATTTCGGCCAATTTTCTAAGCATCAGCAAGTCTTGAACTACACGGACGAAAGTGAAACCTCAGTTGAACCGTAGGGACGAAAGGTATATCCTTTGACGGACCTCCGTATCGGAAACTTTTTTATTATTGGGCCACATGTTCTTTTTTCATGGGCCCTTCACACTGCATGGCCTCAAGTTTGGGCTTCATGACAAAGCCCATTTAAGAGGATTCTCTGCGTCTTATCTCCGCCACTGTCACTGTCGGTCGGCCTGGGTTCTCTGAGTCTTATCTCCGCCACCATCGATTCAAGCGCCACTGCACGCAAGTAAAAGACACAAACATTAACGAAAATCCCACTTCGGAGACCTCCCAGATCATCAGAAATGGCGGCCCTCGTTCTCAGGGTCGCGCAGGACGGCACCGGCGACTTCCGGACGGTGCAGGAGGCCATAGACGCCGTCCCACTCTGCAATACCCGTCGCACCGTGATTCGCGTCGCTCCCGGCATCTACAGGCAGCCGGTGTACGTGCCCAAGACGAAGAACCTCATCACGCTCGCGGGTCTGGCTCCGGAGCTCACTGTGCTCACCTGGAACAACACCGCCACCAAAATCGAGCACCACCAGGTAAGGTACTACACTTTGTTAATGCTACCCAGTTGGGTTTTTGACACGTGGATGAAGCGTATTGTTTTGCTGACGCTGTGGGTTTTTGGTAGGCTCCTCGGGTGATTGGAACTGGGACTTTCGGGTGTGGGAGTGCTATTGTGGAAGGAGAGGATTTTATTGCAGAGAACATTACTTTTGAGAACTCTGCTCCTGAGGTTAGCTTTGTTTATGTTTTCATCACTTAGTTTTTACTCGAAGTTTGCATCTTTTGATTGCTTTTTTGTACATTGAGCATGGTGAAACTTGTAGTTTGAAGTTGAAATTTTGAACTTGTTGGTTTGTGTTGGTTTGGTTTGGTTTTTTTCTATGGAGTCTTATGAATGTTGGAGTTACTGGTTTCGTTAGATGACGCCGGTTTTCGAAATCTTGTTTGGGAGTGAAGGAAAGTGAAATGATGTGATCGGAAGACAAGAAGATTTTTCATTTTTGTTTTGATTAGGGAAAACCGGGTTTGGAATGTTCAGCCAACACAAAAATCTCATTTTCTGTACAAATTTCTGTACTTTTGGAAATGGATAGAAAATGCGAGAAATGAAGCTCTAAAAGTCCGTCCGTCTATTTTTTTTCGGTTTTACTGATAGCCAACGTCTTTGTCGTTAGAGAAGTTGGGGAATGTTTAAACTTTGTTGTTAGAGGTTGTTGGAAATGTACAAAGTTATGTCTTTTATAGTAATACAAAAGTCCTTTGAATTTTCCTTCACTTTCACTCTTTGAACTTCATTCACTCTCAACATGTATTTAACTTTTTCTTCCCTTTGTTTTGTTCGGTAGGGTTCAGGTACAAGCTGTGGCAATTAGAGTAACAGCTGATCGATGTGCCTTCTATAACTGCAGGTTCCTTGGATGGCAGGTATACCCATTGCCCCAATTAGTCTGTTCATTTTCTTAAATTTCCTGTTGGGTACAAACTTCTACTGTTTTTACTGGGTAATCACAAGCTATTTGAGGATAAATGAGAGCGGTTATCAGTCTAATTGGTGGGTTCCTTCAAATTTTAATGCAGGATACCCTGTACTTGCATTATGGAAAACAGTATCTGAAAGATTGTTATGTTGAAGGAAGTGTGGACTTCATTTTTGGCAATAGCACGGCGCTTCTGGAGCATTGTCATATCCACTGCAAGTCAGCAGGTTTCATAACTGCCCAAAGCAGGAAATCTTCCCAGGAGACAACAGGATATGTATTCTTAAGGTACATTAGTTCGCTAACCTTTCGCCCATCTTGGTTGAATCAAGCAATTGATTCGAAGCTATGTTTTATAACTTATCTGATTGACTCAAGATAGGACGATTGTGAATGATTAGAGGAGTTTGTCTAGGTTTTGCTTTTCCATTGATTAATTTCTAGAAGTCGCTTGGTTGTGTTTTTGTGTACTTCATTGATGAACAATTGGTGAATTGTTTTCTTTTAATTAAAAAACCAACCCTGTTTTCTTGAATTGTTGCAGATGTGTAATCACTGGAAATGGAGGGACTTCATATGCATATCTGGGACGACCGTGGGGACCTTTTGGAAGAGTCGTTTTTGCATATACATTTATGGATGGATGCATCAGACATGTAGGATGGAATAATTGGGGTAAAACAGAGAATGAACGAACTGCTTGCTTTTATGAATACAGGTATACATATTTAGTCCATCTGCATTGTACTTCTATTCTACAGTGCCTCCGTTCGGTAAATTTGTCATTGTTGCTGAATACCTGCGGTCAAATATGTGATAGAAAATTTAGCTAACTGAAGAAATTTTCACATTACATTACTATGGACCTGGACTAGAATAACTTCGGAGGAACGTTGTGACTTGTCAAACCAAACTAGTTTATCATTTAGATGGTTCGTGTGGGGGTACCTAAAGGTAAAATTACACAGAACTGAGATGGGAAAGATGTTTAAATTACTTTGATCGGGTTCATCGTGCTTTTCTTTTTCTGAAGATAATATCGTCTCAAGCTTGTGACTTCGTTTATCTGCTCTTGTGCATAACAACTTCTTGAAATACTAATTATTGTTTGTAAGTTTAATGTTTCTCTCGAGTGCGTGACTAGAGGCAGAGTTTGATAAGCTTGTATCATCGAATGCAAATTTCAGGTGTTTTGGACCGGGTAGTTGCCCATCCAAACGGGTGACATGGGCAAGAGAACTGGTAGACGAGGAAGCAGACCAGTTCCTCCAGCATCGTTTCATTGATCCAGATCCAGGAAGGCCTTGGCTTGCCCAGAGAATGGCCCTAAGAATACCGTATTCTGCCTAGGGGTTAAAAACATGGGAATGATTCCCAACAAAGATAGTCGAGTATATTGAAAACATTTTACGACGAAAGAATAAGATATGCACCATAGCTATTTCAAATCCTGTTTTCTCAAGATGCGAGAGGTGTTACACGGTCACTTTTAGCGTTTAAGCTTTGTATCAGATGTAATTGCTTGTGCTGAAGAATTCGTTTGATTTGGCTTTTAGGTTTGTCCAGGATAATATAGATCAACTTGTTCTGTTATGTGTTTTCATCTTCGGCCTGCAACATGGATGGTTAATGTGTGTACTTTTCTTGTGATGAAAAAACCCCTTTCCCTTTGGACCTTCAACCGATTTAACCCCAACTTGAAAGACGATACTCGGAACTTTATCTTTCAGAGCTGTTACAACAGATGAATGTTGGATAACTTTTTTGGAGTGTCAATAACAGTATCATTGTTTTAAACAATATCGTTAACAGTCAATTTTGGTGTCCATAATACTTACGCGCAAGGTGATGCATGCTATGGCTAGGGAACATGAAGTCTTGTCCAAGCCCCTCGCCATCACCAATCACCAATCACCAATCAATAATAGTATCATCGTCGTAAACGACATCATTTAACAGTCAATTTTCCACATATACTTATGCACAAGGTGATGCATGCTATTGCTAGGGAACATGAAGTCTCATCCAAGCCCCTCACAATCACCAATCAATAACAGTATCATCGTCTTAAACGACATCATTTAACAGTCAAATTTGGTCCATAGATACTTACGCACAAGGTGATGCATGCTATGGCTAGGGAACATGAAGTCTTGTCCAAAGCCCCTCACCATCACCAATCACCAATCAATAACAGTATCATCCTCTTAAACGACAACATTTAACAGTCAATTTGGTCCATAGATACTTAGTCACAAGGTGATGCATGCTGTGACTAAGGACACATGGAAGTCTTGTCCAAGCCCTTCACCATCACCAATCACACCACCACATACATCCAATTGGAGTAATATATTTTTGTATTTTGTAAGTTTTGGGCTGCCCTTTCTTGTTTTGGTGAAGGTGAACCACCCCCCCATCCATCTCCATCAAATGCAACCACCTTCCCACCCACCCTCATCAAATGCACTTCCCCTATTGTACTCGAGACTTAATGTTCTCTTTTTTGGTTTTGGTATAAACAGTCACACACTTGACATTTCAAATCTTTGAAGTCAGTTTCATGGGTAATGATTTTCGTATGATCTTTTTCTCTTCTGTATATGTTTAGTTATATTTATAGATTTTCTTTTTATTTATTCATCTCAAAAACTATAAATAAACAAAGGTATTCAAAGAAAGAAAACACACATGCGGAAATTACTTCCCTACTTCATGTGCAAAAGATTAATCAAGTAGAGTGGTTCATTAATATTCTCATCTTCCTAATCAATCAAAATGGAAATGCTCGAAAATTCTTTGTGCAGGATGCTTGTTTTCTTGTTTAGAATGAATATATAGTCATATTGTCACAAATGCATCAATAACATGTCAATACGCTTTGTTGACAACAACGATATGAAAAACCATTCTTCATTAGAAAACAGGCGTCCGTCCCATCGCCTGGACTAGGGTTCTAGTATCCCATTCCTACGCACAACAAAACGTACTTAAAACTATGTTTGCAGAAGCAGTTGCATGTAGTAGAGCACCCAATGCAGAAGCAGTTGCATGTAGTAATAACGTGTGGAGCTGAAATTTGCTGATTTAGAACAAACAGTAGCACATGGTAATTAAGGAAGTGTGATTGAAGATGCTGTAACTTTTTTTTCTATGCTCCATAAACAACTAGGTCCACCTGCCAACCTTGAAGAAAAGTGTGATGTAAAAATTAAGCTCAAGCATAGTATGGTGAAGGAAAATGGGTGAGTTTGCTGCCGCTGCTGCTCTTTTTTCTGTAGGGCATTGACAACTCTTGTTCTGTCCTGGTAGAGGATTGAGGAATGCGTTTCAGGCTGGAGAATTTGAAGGGTAAGCCGATCAGGAAGCAGGAGAGGATTTGCCACGCCGAGGCGGTGTTAAAATCAAAGAAGACGAAGCACAGGGTGTCTCCTTTCAATGAGTCTCCTGCGGTACTCTCTCTCTCTCTCTCTCTCTCTCTCTCTCTCTCTGTGTGACACACGTAGACAAAGCACAATCAAACTCACAGAAACAAGCTCTTGCATAACTTGCAGGCTTCATCTTGGAGGATGAACACCGTGTTTTTAAAGCGGTTTTTCCAGACATAGCGAAAACCCAAATAAATGAGGTGCCTAGTAGGCACTGCCTACTGTTCTATTTTCTTGTGTTAATCTTACTGTAACAACCTAAACTTCTATGCAAATTTGAACTTCGACTCAGTTCTTTGTCATCCTTTTATCAGTTGCGTGAAATTTAATTATTGACAAATCACGAGAAGAAAAGAATTTGCCTTGTAACCGGTTGTGTCTCCCCTTATGTCTATCTCCCCCAGAACGTGATATGATCACATACAGACAGAGAGGGAGTACTCGCACGTGAAAGATACACGAGAAAGTATCCTACCGGGATAGCTAGATTTTCCCCGGTGAGAAGGGAGCAGGCTTCCCAATTAGCTAGCGTGCACGTTTGATTAAATAGTTAATTAGTGTAAAAATGAATGTGTTTGCAGGAAGAGTGGAGAATTCACATGCTGGCCATGCAAGTCTTGTTCCTGTCTGTCTACCTTGCATTATACGTCAAGTTGAGATGCAAATACATTAGGGAAGACTACCCTCCTCATCATGTTCCTCACCACATCTCCAAGATTCTTGAGCTTGACATTTTAAGCACACGATAATCCATAATGCACAAACACACACAAGCCTCTCCGTAACCGGATCCCGCTCAACTATAGGTGGAATGGATACATATCAACGACGATATCAACAGTTATCCACTATTGGTGCATAGTTCATGTTATATTGACAATAATACAATTATTGATTTGTTGTTGATACGGATCCCTTTCACCTACAGTTGAGCGAGATCCCGCTTAAAAAAGGGCTACATATTATAACGAAAAAAAGTATGTCTTTTTTTCTTTTTGTAGACAAGATGGGAAGTCCAAGACCCAGCTGGATACGAGTCAGGTATCAAAGGAACCATATTTTCAGATAGACATGGCCCGTACTCAGCGGGGCCTTTGACTTCCCATCTTGTCTACAAAAAGAAAAAAAGACATACTTTTTTTGGTTATAATATGTAGCCCTTACAGAATCGGTGAGCTTCATCGTTTCGTCTTTCTTCGCTTGGGTTCCTGACAATATCATGAAAAGCATTACAGAATCGGTGAGTTCTTCAAAACCCTGATATTATTCACGTTTGATGGAATTGTGGGCAAGCATGTTGCGTAACCAAATCAATGTTTTCAATTGAAGCAGCTGGTGGCGACGGTGATGGACGACGTGAAGTTGAATGCGGTGTTGCTAGCAGATTATGACAAGTTCAAAACAGAGAAGCTCAAGACTTAAGTCTAAATAGCACTACGAAGACAGAGAGGTGGTCTTTTATTCATTGTATTATTAAATGTGTTATGTGTCAAAGTTTCTTGAGATATAATAAAATTTGAAATTGTTCGTGAGAATGCGTCATCAGGGACTAGTTAAGAAGCAATATTAGGAGAACGGGAATTGAACTCGAGACTTCGGTTTCATTGATTCATATACAAAATTATCCCAGATAAAAATGCAAAAAAAGGAGACAGATGGAGATGCAGGGGATCGAACCCTATACCTCCCGCATGCAAAGCGGGCGCTCTACCATTTGAGCTACATCCCCTAATTGATATTCTGTGCTGGATATTAGCTTTAGATCCAAAAATATCACATATGAAAATCCGCAAAGTATTTGTATAAGATGATATTCTAAACAACTTTAATTTATGAGGTATATATTCAAAATTTGATGCAAAATAGGTCAATATTCTAGTCAACGGACCTAATTTATATACATGTGACAACTTTTAAATGAATAAAATATATACATTTTTTTTGTTTCTCCTGCAATCTTCTCTTATTTCTGTCCATTATATAATCTTTTATATATGGGAGTTTTAACAAAAGTTTACGGTATTGTTTACTTTAATGAAAAACCATATTTTTACACTAAAAAGTCAAACCTGATACTATTTATTTTACCCTTTATTTTGTCCTTATAAAACTCAAAGTTTTCAAGTTTTTTCATTAGTTTTCTTTTATTTATAAAATAAAAGGAGAAAGGATGAAGTTTTCACAATACCCAAATTACCCTTCTCCCATTAGGATTAAAAAATCCACTCATAATGAGACTGGGTAGTTACGTTCATTATTTTTCATAAGCAACAAAAGGGTTTCCTTCAAAATTAAAAAATAGGCCAAAAAGAAATCTAATCGATCACCACTTGCATTGTTTACATATCACCAATAATCAGAGCAAGAACAAGAACCTTGCTTGAAGCAATGAAATCGATTCCGATCTCTGATCACAATCTCTCGGTTATACACATGGGAAACTATTTTCATAGCCGAATGGCAGTCTACACATATACGCAGATTCTTGAAAATGTAAAGAGGCGAGCCAGATTTCGTGCTTACAAGCCCAAAACAGACTGCCAGCTTTTCGCTGTGGCGGAACAATGCCTGCTCAATCTCCTCCTGCTTATCTGCATCATCGTCTCCATTGTCAAAGCCGGAGAAAACCTGAGAACCGGTATTTGGGATGTAGCCTGCCAATCTCAATCTTCGTATCATCTCATCCAATTTCATGTAAATCTCCGTTGTTTTCGGGTGTGACTTATCTCCTGCGCTGAACTGATGAACTTGGCCACCAATATAAATTGAACTTATTCCGGGGAGCTTTCTTAAACCCCTATTCTTAAGATCCTGCCTCAGTAAGTTTGCCTTGTCCTGCTTTCCTCCTAAAGAATACATGTTTGAAAGCAGGACGTGATAATCTGTGTTGTGGGGATCCAATTGAACCAGTTCTTGCAGCACGCGTTCACCAAGCTCTAGTTTTTCGTGGATTCTGCATGAACCGAGAAGGGAACCCAAAACAACCTCGTTCGGAGGCATTGGCATTTGCTTGATCAAGACTTCAGCCTCTTCCAAATGACCAGCCCTTCCTAGAAGATCCACCATACAGGCATAGTGTTCTATCTTTGGAGTTACGCTGTAAGATTCAAGAGTGTGAAAGTAATGCTGGCCCTGATCAACAAGGCCCGAGTGGCTGCAAGCACTCAACAAAGCAACAAAGGTCAATTCGTCTGGCTTGGCTTCTTCGAGCATTTGAGGAAACATATTCAAAACAAGTTTACCCCTTCCATGCATTGCTAAACCACTGAGCAAAGCGTTCCATGTCACCTCGTTCCTTCGGTGCATTTGCTCAAAAACTTTTAACGCGGTGTCTACTCTACCACATTTCGCATACATATCAACCAATGATGTGCCAACCATGATGTCAATCTCATTCACCATAGTCTTTAAAGCATAAGCATGAAGCCAACTGCCCGTCACCCTATCTCCTGATTGTGTACATGCCGATAAAAAAGAACAGAGGGTGACATAATTTAATCTCAAACCACAACCGAAAACCATTTCTTCAAGAAGCAAAAAAGCTTCGCCGATAAGCCCAATACTCATAAATCCAACAATCATAATCGTCCAAGCAACCTCATTTCTCTCAGGCATTTGATCAAACACCACTCTCCCATTTCCCACGCCTTCAAATTTAACCACACCGTCCAAAATCACAGTCCACGACACTACACTCCTCTCCCCTGTTGCTTCAAACAGCCGTCTCGCCATACCCAATTGACCACACTTGACATACATATCCATGGCCACATTGCAGACCTTGACACTAGAATCCCAACCCACCTTCACCACAAACCCATGCCCTTGCTCCCCAACCTCAGCATTGCCCAGCCGAGCACACGCATTGAACAAGCAAGCCATGGCCACGTCGTCCACCTTCACGTCTTCTCTTCTCATTTCGACGAACAAACGAAGCCCAGATTGGAGCATTCCGTGGCGGGCAAAGCAGCCCATGAGGACAGTCCAGTCCACAGCGTCTTTGTGCGAGTGGGGAATTTCATCGAACAGCTTGCGTGCAGAGAATGGACTGCCGTGTGCAGCGTGGAAATGGAGGAGGGCATTGTGAAGGAATGAGTCTGGTGAGGCGGCGAGGCCGCTGGTGACAATGGCGGCGTGGAGCTTCTTTCCGACGTCGACGGAGGATTGACGCGTGCATCCTCGTAAAAGAGAACGGAGGTGGCGGGTGGGGAGTGATGTCAAGGCAGTGTCGGTTGGCCATCTCATATGAGAGAGGCTGAGACCGGCTAATATGTTTGGAATTTTGGACAAACAGGACACATAAGTTCACAACCGACTCTTATTCACGTTTCGTTTATACAGTAAAAAGAATGAACAGTTCCAATTATCACGTTTATGTGAAAAAATGATGGCACGTTTACAAGAAGATGACTTTCCTGCTTACTCATTTCCTTAAAAAAGAGGGGTAAGTAGTGACGAACCACCGTTTTTCACTCTCTTGGTGCACGGAGGAGGCAAGTTAGGAATTGCATTTCATCTGTGGTTACCATTAAACAGATTCTCAAAGTATCAAACTAGGACCTCCCATTTTTTCCTTTACACTATGTTTAGATGAAGAAATTTAAGATTACTAAAGAAATTTAAAACGTCGGTAATTGAAATAATGAGATTTTATTTTCTAGAATTTGTGAATTTTCTTGTTTGATCAACCTAAAAAACAATGGAATTGAATATGAAATTTGTTATTTTTAAACTCTCAATCATATCAATTGGGAAATGACACATATTTACATGGAATTTAAACTTGGAAATTGAAGGTCTCAAATTTCAAGTTTTTTTTCCATGCAGAAATTCTAAATTTCTATATTTATGAAGCCAAACAAAAGAATTGGTTCATGTCAATTTGTAAATTCCGACTTTTATCCAAATTCCAAGTTTATTTTCCTTATCCAAACATAATGTAAAGAGTTGCTGATCGCACTTTCCCACCGGAAAGGTGGGAAGTATTGTCTAGCTCAAATGCCAAAATTCCGATTTACGATTAATTAGCTGTATGCAACATGCCCTAATCCAAATCATGAGTTGAGTAAAGCACACGTCCGGTAATGGTAAGCACAAGTCACACAACCAACAAAGAATGTTTGGAACGTATCAATATGTTTCCATTACTACACAATCAAGGATCTCCATCTTGACAAACTCAATTTGCACTCGAAAAACAAGGAGAATCAGGAAAAATGAAAATCAGTTTCGTTCGAAACACCCACAGGCTTAGCAAGAGAAAATGTCTTGGCTTATTTAAGTTTGAAGTACAAGACTAAAGCGATCGCAATGACAAGAAAGGTGATAACTGCAATAATAAGCCACTTGTTCCTGTTCATCCTCCTCGCCATGGAAGTCAGGACTCTCTTGCTTTTCCCTATGTTGTCGTCCACTCCATGAAGCTGCAATCGAAGGAAAAAACAGTTAGATAAATGCACTGACATTAAAGGAAATCATGTCCGAAAGGTGTTGAGTAAATCATGTTCGGAAGGTGGTATGTCCAGAATCCACACGGAAATCGGTATATTTTTAAACATTACTCAAGAGAAGGTGTGCATACTACCCCTAAACGTAAGAGGGCAAAAGATGGAAAAGTAACTTGCTCGCGGTAAGATTTGTTAAAAAAAACCCTAAATTAATACAGAGCCTGAAACGGTAATTACCGTGGTATGAGCATGTAACAGAGATTGTCTCTGTGAATGCAGATCTTGGAGGATTGAAACACCAAGCTCTTCTGTTTCCAGCATGGTTCTTCTGCTGTCCTTAACTCTGTCACTGGACTTGTTTAATCTCTCGGTTGACATCATTAGCCTTGATCTTTGATCAGCTGATGCCTATTTAAGTTTCACGCATCAGTGAGTATTGTAAAATCATTCATCCAGAATATCAAGAAAGGATGAGTACTTAGAGCAGATTCAGCAGAAGGCATGAGATACTCATTTTATGTCATGGAAAGCACACACTTGTATCATCATTTATCACAAACAGAGGAAAAGCTAATCATTATGACAAAAAAGAAAGTGCTCAGCGAAGAACAATTTTCAAAGTAACTCAACTTTTCATCGTTTCTGTGCTTCTCAATAAAAAGTAGAGAGATACATTAATGCTAAAGGACGCTTCTTTCAAGAATCTTTGTTTCAAATTAGCAAGTGAAGTGACCATCATGTCAAACCAGAACTGATCATGTTCACTGATTCTATTGCTCGACCCAGCAAATTAGATTGAGATAACTAAGGTAGCACACCGAAGTGAAATCTTCCTCAAAAAAGTAGAACTCCTAGTTTCATGCCAAATACATATCAAGATCCATCACAAACTCGCTACCAAATAATGAATCACATTTAATATCTTAACATAACTATTCGAAACATAAAAGGAAGTTATGAGGATTTAGACATACTGTCAGAGCATCAGCCATGCCTGATTCCAGCAACTCATCTCGGGCAGTTGCATATGCGTTTCCAGACACAAGTCTTTTAACTTCGCTTTTCAGATTATTCAGATCCGACTTATATTCCCTCAACTTAGCAAGAAGCACAGCCTTAATATTTGGTGGCAAACTTCTTGCCTCAAGGTCCATTTTCGGATCTGAAATTTTTTTTAAGAAACATCACATCAGTACCAAGTACAATGAAATAACAGAAAACTAATCCTCCCAAAGAGAATAGTTCAATCAATTACCAAAGATTCTGCATCATCGATTCCAGCCTTTATTTCAGAAATCTTTTGCTTCTTTTGTTCTGCAGATTAGAATAGAGGCAATAGTTCACAAAAATGTCAGTATCACTTGGCTTGATAAGCGAGAATAAGCATGTTAAAACCCCCCAACAAGCACAATTTGGGATATTAATCTTAGGTCCATCATTTTCGTATATATAGAAATTTGAAGGTGACGTGTTTTCAGTAAATGTATACTACATGAATGACTTAAAAACCATTTCCTCTGTATACTCAACTCACAAACTTCCAGTGGGTGTTGCTACAATATTCAACAACAACAACAACAACAAAGCCTTATCCTACTAACTGGGGTTGGCTGTATGAATCCTAGAACACCATTGCGCTCAGTTCTGTGCTACAATATTCAACAACCAAAAAAATTCAGAATAAACTCCTCTTCCATCCATTTCAATGCCATTCAAATGTTGAAGAAATTTAGAGTCTAAATTGAGCACAATCTCAAATTAGACATCCTGCACAATTCAAGATCTGATCCAATTGCCTCAAGTAATTTCAATCCTTTTCTTTCCTGTTTTCTCCTCTAAATTGCAAAAGTCCACTTTTAAAACAACCATTATTAACACATTATGCATAATTCAAGCTGGTGGAAGCTTTACCAGCCTAATGACTTTCACCATCTTTTGAGACCACTAAGCCTATAGCTACTAATAACTTTTCAACATCAAACAAAGAAGCATAACTTTGCGGCAAAGCGGTAACAGTTAGAAACTTAACAGTCCGGTGATCCAATATACACATATCCCCAACCAATCATAACGTGAACTAGGTTCTCGCGTGATTAAGACAAATTGAATACATACATTACAATACTCCATCAGGTTTATGCCACCCTCATGCTTAAATCAACAAAAAGACTCAAACTTTATCCTTGAAATCCCTTACACCAGCAAAATTATAAACAAAATAAATCATCGAAATACAGGGAACTACACAAACATATATTAAATTCACAAAAAAAAAAAAAAAAAAAAAAGGAAAAGTGAGAAAAATTGACCTCCATCGAGAGCACCAGCTGCCGTACACTTTTTGGTGAGGTTGGCGGAGAGCTCACTGTAGTTGCGCTCGTACCCTTCAAATACGTTGCTCATCTCTCCCTAAATTTCTCTCTGCATTCAATCCATCACACAATTTCAGCAATAATTCAGATATAAAGCCCTAAATTGATCGAATTTGGAGATTATGATAACAATTTGAACGATCTGAGATCCATCGAATCGGAGGTAGAGACCTGATGACACGGAGATTCAGATGGATCGCCAAAGACGACGGCTGAGGGCGGTGGCGGGTGTTGAATGTTTCTTCTACGTGGTGGTGGTGTTGCTTTGCTTTCGAAGCGATCGAAACGGCAATGTGCGCGAAAGAGGAAGCCAACTTGTGTATTAATTTGGTGCGCACCTTCGGATAAAATCACCGGCCATTGGATGCTCGGTCGCTACACTTGGCCCTTGCTTACAACTGTGACGCTGTGGTTAGAGTTCGTTGGTGTATTAATATTGTGTGCACCCTCTTGTTAGATTTGGATGTTAATGAATTTCTTATCGAAAAAATAAAAAAGGTTTTTCATGTGTCTGTAACTGATTAAGATACTCGTGATATTACTAATTGGTTTGTAGTAGACGTTGAATTTTTTTCATGGTATCAGAATAAGTTATTATATATGAAAAGTCCAATAGTCATAAGTGTTTCACGTCATCCAATTTATGTTATTTATGTGATAGACTTGAAAATCCGTCATACATGAAGGAGCGTGTTAAGAGTATGAATCTCACATCTAAAAATTAAGAGACTTTGCATGTACTTATAACTAATTGAACTCCTCCCTATATTGTCATTTAGTTTTATGATGAAATTTCAATTTTCTTCAACTAGTCCCTTATGATTTAATTCGTAATTTTCAAGCACTTGATTATGGATTTCAAGGTGAAAATTACTTTTTTAGTAAATACATGGAAGTGAAGTATCAAAATTTCAATTCTTATTTTCAGTACGTAAATATAGTGTGAAAATGACTTTAAACTCAAACTTGATTCCCTAATATACCGTGTCTAAATATATATAAAATCCAAAATTCAACACAAATTAACATGTCGTTTTCTATTTTATCCGCTTCACGTTTCATATCTTTCTAGTTAATTACACAAGATATTGTCATTAGCAGACAAGCCGTATGACCTAGAGATATTCTCATACTTATTTTCACATTCTAAGTAAAATGTCTTAAATTCGACTTTCATAAATAACTAGTTCGATATCAAATAATCGCAATCTCATGTAACTTCTGTTTGGGCCCAAATTATTATGATTGGGCCGAGCAGCAAGACGTGCTCGGCCCAGGGTAATAACACATGCTATGGGCCAAGTAATGAGACTCGGACCAGCTGGCAGGGTCGGCCAGATCCGATCTTAAGTAGTCCAGATAAACGAGGAAAGGTCGAGGAAATCCTGATGCAACCAGGATTCTCGACCGGCAAGGGATAGAACCTCAAAAGTAGGAGAATTCAGAATCCCAATAGGACTGGGATTGTTTGAGTTAAAGGTGAGATGGGACAAGGACTCCCAATCCAAATCAGAATGGGAATCAAGGAACGAGGTGCTATAAATACAAGAAATTACGCAATAGAAAGGCCTCCACAATCAGCATACAATTGCCCTGCGCAAATTCTCTCAAACACCTTGAGATTTTTCCTTTTCTTTTCCCGCCGACACACCTTCAGTTTGGATAAACAGCACTGTGGAAGCAACCGGTGAGCACCTTCAGTTTGGATAAACAGCACTGCTGCCGCAGAATCAGCCGACCAAGACACACCTTCAGTTTGGATAAACAGCACTGCGTCGAGGTCGACCGATTATCTATCTAAGTCTCGGCCGAGAAAGGTTTTCGAACCTTTGTTGGTAGAGGTCATCTTACTAAGCCGCTTCGGCATAGTTGGGTGTTACGAATTGCCTTGCTCGGCGCATTGGAGGCCGAGTGAGTTTATGATTGGATATTCACAAGTAAGTTTCAGGGTTCGGCATTCCGACGGCCGAACTACGTTTACCATCAAGACATATATCACATTCGAGTACCTGTGCCCGTATAGTTTGGTCTCAATTCGGCGTGCTTATACTCTTACGAATATAATCACAGTGGCCGAATCAGGCTTCGACGAGTTGTGAACTCCGTAGAATTAGTAGCCTTGTCTTCAGGCTATAGAATCCAGAGACCGAGAGCGTTCCTTCCTCGGTCGCAATCGCAAGATACAGAAGTCAACAGCGCGCTCAACGCGACCGCATCAAATTTTACTCCTCGGCCGAGCTCGGCCGACGAGTTGGCACGCCCCGCATTCAACCGAAGGACATTAGTTAGCTCATTAGTTATTCGGCCTGCGCGCCACGTAGGTTCTGTAATTTTTGTAGTCAACATTTTGGCACGCCCGGTGGGACCATTGTGCTAAACCTTCGGAGTTCATGACCGTAGAGACACGGTCTACCAAGAAGAAAATGAACATGGGAAAGTCAACAGCTGACTTACCAGTGCAAGGCCTCGGGCAGGATTCGCAACCAGCAAAAAATCCGGTCATTGCTTTGCCACCCGAGGCTACAAGTGTGACCCGCCGAGAGAATGAGATCTGTCTCGGTGGGCAACCTCACAACGCGGCGATCCCGAATCAAACGACGCCCGTATTTGTGGAGGGGATAGTGGAAGACTGCGACGACGATGGTGGAGAAGGCTCTGATCCACCAACTAGGTCGTTTCTTCGAAGACGACTTGATGAACAGTATCGTCAGGTCGAACACTCGATTGGTCAAAGGATGAATGATTTGCTAGAAGCAATACGAAGTAACAATGATACGCAGACCAGAATGCTCGAGTTATTGGTTAGTAAAGCCTTCGAAGATGGCCCGGTTGGCCAACCCCGGCAGCTCTCAACGAATGTTCCCGTACCAGCCGAGAGAGGGTCCACTCGGCCGCAACCGGTTACCTTAGAAAGAAGGGGACCAGGAAACAGATCCGAGGGACCGAGCCAGGGAGAAGAAGCCGCCTCCGTGAACATGACCGAAGTCCAGAGAATGATTGATTCGGCCTTGAAGAAAGGACCGAAGTTTCCAAAATTCATTCATCCATACCCGGCTTACGTAGAAAGGTTTGAATACCCACGGGGATTTAAGATCCCTGATTTCAGCCTCTTCGCTGGGGAATCGTCTTTGTCCTCATTAGAACATGTGGCTCGGTTCACGGCGCAGTGTGGAGATGTTAATAGCGACTTCTACAAACTACGTCTGTTTAATTTTTCATTGACAGGCTCCGCTTTCGCCTGGTACATTAATCTTCCACCCAATTCTGTGCAGAGTTGGGAGGAATTGGTCGAAAAATTCCATGAACAATTCTATCGGCCAGGGATGGAGATGTCAGTATCATCCTTGGCCAGGATGGCTCAAGCATCCGACGAATCTCCAATGGAGTACTTAACAAGGTTCAAGTCGGCCAGGAATTGGTGCCGAGTACCACTCCCCGAAGTGGAATTCGTCAGGATTGCTCTCAACGGATTAGACGTGGAGTACAAAAAGAAGTTCCTGGGGGCAAACATTCGCGATATGTACGAACTTGCTCAACATGTCGAACAGTATGATTACCTGCTCCGAGAAGAGAAGGTCTCAAAATCACCATCCCGGGGAACGTTGTATAAAAACCCCACGGTCAGCTATGCATCGGCCGAAAGCGGGGACCCTCAGTACGTCAGTGTGGATGCGGCCGAGATAGTAATAGATAAACCATACGTCTGCAAGGCTCTGGCTCAAATACACGGCAAAGACACCAAAGCCCATTCGGCCGCCGAGGACATAAGTAAATCTTCAAAAGTATACACTTTCGACATCACCAAGGCCGATGCAATTTTCGATCAATTATTGGCGGCAAAGATCATCAAGCTTCGGCCGGGACATATTATCCCTAAGGCCGATGAATTGAAAGGAAAGATATACTGCAAGTACCATAATTCTAATAAGCATGCAACAAATAATTGTGTCGTGTTCCGGGATACAATCCAAAGTTGGATCGAGAAAGGAAAATTGAAATTTCCGGAAAAGCAGATGGCGGTCGACGTCAATCCCTTCCCTTCAACAACAATTGGTATGGTGGATGCTCATCTTCCTAAAAACAAAGGGAAGGCCGAATACGTTCCGGTGCAGCATATCCGTAAACAGAATGGTCGAACAAGGCTAAAGCTTGATATATTTTCGAATGCACCACCCACGGAACAATCGAGGCCCCTCGCCGATGAGCCTATGACGGGGTCGAGTTCCGACGAAACTCATGAGTCAAAGGTTTTATGTGACCATTGTAAAACACCGATTGAACCTGGGAAGAAGACATTTTCAACAACACCCACGGCCCTTACCACAGCACCAAAGGAAGTTGGTCCGCGACGTCAAGTGTTCGATCGACTCGGCTTACAAGTACGGCCGAAAGACCAGGCCTCAGTCAGGCGGCGTCTTGATTTCGACGCGCCTTTCTATAATGAGGATTACTACTCGCACAATACTAACAGTTCCAGCTCGTCAGCCGATCGCAAAACCTTCAAACCACCCCGAACATCGGATCAACGCTGGTACAGTTACAACTCCCCGACTGGTTTATATACAGCACTGTCTAAATCCCAAAAACGTCGCCGTCAACGGATTGATTGCATGGCTCGGCGACGAGAAGCGCAGGCCAGCACTGCCAACCAGTGGCAACCAAAGAAGGCCGCGGAAAGCATCAGTGAACGGCCAACCCCGACTATCATGACCGAATTGGCCGAAGGGAAGCAAGTAGCCGCTGCCGGTTTTGAAACCACCATTGAGGATGCTGAGAAACGTATCAAAATCCTGCTTCGGCCTGGGGAAACTAGAGCTCGGCTAGAACACTTCACGCAAGAGGCCAAAAGGAAGATTTCCCCATCACCACCGCGCGAACCGTTTATCAAAGTACGGCGCAACTTGCATCCCCCGTTCCTCGGTGAATCCTTGGAATACATGCGAGAGTTTCATAAGAAATACTCCGCCAATGACTTGTACGGACTACCCAGGGAGTGTCAGGAAGCCCTCGACCTAGCTCTCACTTGCCCTGATGCCGAGCAAATCATTCAGAAAACCTCCGACCCAGCAATAAAGGCAAGGTTCCAGCATATACGGGAAGCTCGGGTACTTGGTTTTGATGTTGATCCCTATACAGATATCGACACCGCCGAATTACCTTTCTCACTCGATGACCTTCAGCATTTGCGCCATCACTTCGAAGTTTTCTCGGCGGTATCACTCTTCGGCCTCACGGCCGACGAAGAAAAACGAATAGCAAGGTTGGATACATATCTCGACACTAGGAACGCCCGCATTGCCTATGAAGAACGAGCCCGTATAACAAAGGACCAACATAAATCTTCGATAGTCAACATGGTCGAGGAAAATAGCCACACCACATTCGACTTGGTTCCCACGTCTCGGGTACCGGCTCTTACCGAGGCACTTGAAAGCTTGATCGAGGATGTTCCGCCGGCTGACACTGTGACTAGTTCGGCAGAAGACGACGACCACGATCCCATGGGTCCTTCGGTCCTCGAACAAATGGAGATTAGTATGGTCCATGTGTTACCAGCCGAATTCCAACCAAGTACACCCCAGTCAAATTTCTTGGATGGGGATGTTGTCGCCGAGGAGGCAACACAAGTCGATTTCATCGCAAACGATGACGACCGAGAAACCCGAAGCACGGACAACCTTAAGGCGGCATTGGCCGAGCTATTTCCTCGCTCCCCTTCGGTTAATCTCCAACACCTGAAGCCGTTGTACATCACGGCTCACATCGAAGGATTCCCTATTTCCAAAGTGTTTGTCGACTGTGGGGCCACAGTCAACATTATGCCAATATCTGTCATGAAGGCCTTGCGCCGTTCTGATAATGAACTCATTCCGTCAGGGATCACTATGAGCAGCTTCATTGGTGACAAGTCTCAGACCAAAGGAGTGTTACCATTGGAGGTTAGCATTGCCGGTCGCCAACACATGACGGCATTCTTCATAATTGATTCCAAGACCGATTATAACGCATTACTTGGTCGAGACTGGATCCACCAAACCAGTTGCATTCCTTCATCACTGTACCAAGTTCTCATCTTCTGGGATGGCAAATCGGTTACCATCCATCCAGCCGATAATCAACCATTTGAGACCAACATGATTCAGGCTCGCTATTATGATGATCACGTCGGCTACATCACCCTCCAAGGTCTTAACGAGGATGGGCGGCCGACGCGAATTTCAGTGCAGAAAGTGATTGAGGTCGGCGCCGAGACTGTCCAACAGGATTCGGCGCGCCTTGGCTTGGCAGATTTAGTCCCCAATGCCGATGATTGAGTACACCAAACAAGAACAGCGTCAGGCCGCGGTTTCATCAACGATGGAACGTCTGCTGGCCCATTGGTACGCCATTACCAAGCAACCGCATTCTGGCATTAATTTAATTGAATTTTTGGCCGAAGCAGATGACGGCCCTGTTTTGTCTCTCGAGAAGGTTCGGGCAGCACCGGCCGAACTCGAGGACCATCGGCCTCAAGTCAAGGACCCATTAGAGGAAGTTAACGTAGGCACGGTCGATGATCCTCGCATATTGTTTATAAGCGCGTTACTCCCACCGGCCATGAAGGCCGAACTCCGTAAGTTACTTCAGGAATTTAAAGATTGCTTTGCGTGGAGTTACCATGAAATGCCAGGCCTCGATCGAAACTTGGTCGAGCATGAGCTACGCATCAGAGACGGTTGTAAGCCTTTTCGACAACCCCCTCGCCGATTCTCGACCGAGTTACAACTCGGCATTAAGGAAGAACTGGTTCGGCTTCTCAAGGCCGGATTTATTAGGACCGCTCGGTACGTCGAATGGTTGGCCAATATCGTCCCAGTGTTGAAGAAAAACGGTGCCCTCCGCATTTGCACCGATTTCCGTAACCTGAATCTGGCGACTCCCAAGGACGAATATACAATGCCAATGTCAGATTTGCTCATTGATGCCGCAGCTAATCATGAACTACTATCTTTTATGGACGGTCATGCGGGATACAACCAGATTTTCATCGCCGAAGCCGACGTCCACAAAACGGCTTTCCGTTGCCCAGGGGCACTGGGCACGTACGAATGGGTAGTCATGCCGTTCGGCCTCAAGAATGCCGGCGCCACATACCAACGAGCCATGAATATGATCTTCCACGACTTAATTGGGACCATCGTCGAAGTTTATATCGACGATGTGGTGGTAAAGTCGAAACGCCGCCAAACACACCTGGATGACCTACGACAAACGTTCCTTCGCATGCGCAAGAATAGTCTCAAGATGAACCCAGCCAAGTGTGCTTTCGGTGTTTCGGCCGGCAATTTCCTAGGGTTTTTGGTGCACCATCGCGGCATCGAAGTCGACGCCAATAAAGCCCGCGCCATCATTAGCGCCCCACCTCCCACAACAAAGAAACAGTTGCAGTCGTTACTCGGACAGATCAACTTCCTCCGCCGTTTCATCGCCAATTCGGCCGGTAAAATGAAGGCATTCTCTACTCTCCTCAAACTTAAGGATACCGATAAATTTGTTTGGCGCGAAGAACATCAGAGTGCATTCACGCAGATCAAGGTGGCCCTTTCGACCCCACCCGTGCTGGTTCCACCTTGTCGCACCAAACCCCTCAAACTATACATTTCGGCAGCCGCCGAATCCATTGGTTGTCTCCTTGCGCAAGACAACAACGTCGGTCGTGAGCAAGCTATCTTTTATCTTAGCCGAAATCTGAATGCACCAGAGCTCAATTACTCACCGGTCGAAAAACTTTGCTTAGCTTTGTTTTTTGCCACATCCAAGCTTCGGCATTACATGCTCCCATCAGTTACGCAGGTCATCGCCCAGACAGACGTAATTCGTTACATGCTCACTCGGCCTATCGTTAAAGGCCGAATCGGGAAATGGACACTCGCCTTATCCGAATTTAGCCTGCAGTACGTTCCCCAAAAAGCGGTCAAGGGGCAGGCTCTCGCCGATTTCTTGGCCCAGCACCCTTCCCCATATGGTTTTGAAGGGGGCGATGTCGACATCGGTCTAGTCACCACACGCGATAACCATTGGACTATGCATTTCGATGGATCCAGTACTTCGACCTCGGCAGGTGTCGGCATCGCAATTCAGTCGCCCGACCACTACCGATGGTACTTCTCTCTCAAGTTGGATTTCAGCTGCACAAACAATCAGGCCGAATATGAAGCCCTCATTATCGGTCTCCACGTTTTACACGATCTACGGGCCTCCCGTGTTCTTGTCCTCGGTGATTCCGAACTTGTGATTAACCAATTGAACGGCATTTTTCGTTGCATGAGTTGTACTTTGGCGCCATATCACATGGTCGCCACATACTTGGCCGAGTCCTTCGAACGGATCACGTTTGAACATATTTCACGAATCCACAACACCGATGCCGATGAACTCGCCCAGATCGCCTCTGGAGCACAACTCATGGGGGGCAAACTTGGCCGCATCGCAGCCACAGGCCTGCAATCGTACCCGGCCTTGATCGATCGGCAAACCCTCCAGCGCACACACGTAATACGAACAAGGGTAATGTCGCTCCCATCCTTACTAGAACGGGGAGACCCCGTAGAAATATATGCCGTCGAGGTAGAACCAGATGATTGGAGAAAAACGATGTTACGGTACCTCGATAATCCCAACGGGAAACATGACCGGAGAACGAAGGTCCTCGCCACGAATTACGTGTCGTATCAAAATGAATTATATCGCAAGGGCGAGGATGGGTTACTGCTGTTGTGCCTTGGCCCAGACGAGGCTGCCCAAGCAATGGCCGAGGTACATGAAGGAATTTGCGGAGCACACCAGTCTGGACGAAAGATGCGTTGGTTGCTCCGACGACACGGTTACTTTTGGCCCAGTATATTAAAGGATTGCATCGAATACGCACGGAGATGCGTACCATGCCAAATTCATGGACACGTACAGAGAGCCCCGGCCGAATTGCTACATTCGGTCACCAAACCATGGCCGTTCAGAGGTTGGGCAATGGACGTGATTGGCAAAATCACGCCATCATCGGGGGCAGCGAAACACGCGTGGATTATGGTAGCAACTGACTACTTCACTAAGTGGGTCGAGGCAAGGTCATACGCCGAATTAACGGCCAAGGAGGTATGCAATTTCGTAGAGGAAAATATTGTGACCAGATTCGGCGTGCCAGAAACGATCATAACTGATAATGGCACTATCTTCACGGCCGATAGGTTTAAGGAATACGCAGCAAGGTTGAACATCCGACTCGAGCAATCTACGCCGTATTACCCACAGGCAAACGGGCAGGCCGAGGCAAGCAATAAAGTGTTGATCGGCATCCTTGAAAAAATGGTAAAAGAAAAACCTGGGTTGTGGCACTTAAAGTTAAATGACGCGTTATGGGCATACCGAACTTCACCCCGCTCGGCCACTGGAACGACCCCTTACGCGTTAACTTACGGACACGACGCCATGTTACCGGTCGAGTTAAGTATAAGTTCGTTACGAGTAATCGAGCAGAGTGACTTGTTCAGTATTGAATATTGTCAAGCGATGCGGCAGGAATTAGAAGATTTAGAAGAAAGTCGAGTCGACGCGAGTAACTTATTGATAGCACAAAAGAAAATTGCCGAACGAGCGTATAACCAGCGGGTAAGACAAAAAACGTTCGGCGAAGGAGAATTGGTTTGGCAAACTGTGTTGCCTGTTGGGATTAAGGATCCAAGATTTGGGAAGTGGTCGCCGAATTGGGAAGGGCCATTCGTCGTTCACAAAGTCCTCGGCAAGGGGGCATATCATTTAAAAGATCGGACGGGTTCAGTTCACAAATTGCCGATTAATGGAAAGTTTTTAAAGAAGTATTATCCAATTACATGGGAAATGCAAGAATAAGACCATTGTAGCGAGACGACCATCGGATTAATAGTAAAACGACCATTGTATTGATATCAAAAGAATCATTACAAAAAAGAAAATACAATACAATGAGATTTCTAAGGGGACGGGGGGAGATAAGTCTCAAGGGCAGCTTTTAGCTCCAGCCACTTCGCTTCGCCCAGAATGATCTCGGCCTGCCTGGTTTTCTTGTTACACTGCAACTGCTGGACGTGCCGTGCACCGGCAGCGAAGGCCGTCAGTCGAGCTTTGCTAGCCTCGAAGTTCTTCTCGAGCTCGGCAGCGGCAACTGACCTCTGTCGTTGAAGGTCAGAGATTTGACGTTGGAGTTCAAATATCTGGCGATCAAACTCAGTCAGCGTCGCCTTCTTAGCTTTGATTGCCTCCATCTCAGCTCGGCCGGCCTCTTGCGCGACCTTGGCAGCCTTCAAGTCATCCTCGGCTTGAAGGGCTCGCTCGAGGACATAGAAGTGTTGCCGAGTCCGCTCCAGGAGGTCGGTAAGGAAAGAGATACCTTCCGGGCTCAGATGACCACCGCTGGCGAGGTCGTTGAGACACTCTCCAACAGAGTCGAGGCCTTTGCACCGAAGAGCTTGGGAGGCAGTCAGAGACAAGACTTCGTGCAGCTTCACAAAGACTTCGGCGGGCGTGGCTTCCGCCGATTCGGCCGGAGCAGCAGAAGAACCGGCCGCACCATTCGTGCTCTGCAGAAGGGCATCGAGCTCCACTTCCCACGACGGCTGCACGTAAGAGAACTTTGTGAAGAAAAGTAAAACGTCATCATATAGTGCATAAAGGAAAAGGGGGATTGTTTTAGACCTGCCGAGAGGAGACCTCGGCCATGCCCTCTGGGTCATTGCTCGAACCCAGGGAACTTAATGGCCGAGCCCAGTGCCTTAGACCGCTACGCAATTCACGCGGCCGATGGAGGTTGTCTACATTTGATGGCCACGACGGTGGCCAGGAAATATAGACAACACCCCTCGGCGCGTAAAATTGCCGGTGAAATGAATGTTCGGGCACCTGACATTTAATGGTCTTTTTCAAATAAAACATGTGTCACGAAAAAATCAATACAAAAGAAGCGAGACTTACAAAGGCCGAAGAGACTTCCTGTGGAGGAATGGGAAGGTCTTCGTCCTGCGGATGGATCGGCGTTTCGGCCGTGGCCTCAGGATCGGCCATGGGCCTCTTACCACGATCTGCCGCGGAAGGACGTGGTCTAGCGGTCGCCTCGACGACCGGAGGAGGATGGACGGGAGGAGAGTGAACTGGTCGACGGTGGCGTTCCAGCGGAACTTCGTTACTCACGCTCTCGTCATCCTGAACAAAAAGAGAACATTTAGCATTACGACCCGAAACCTAAGGAAACAAGTGGAAGTAGAGTTTTACCTCCAAAACGACCGTGGGAGTCGAGGGTGCATCGACGGGCGCAGCCGGTTTGGCCATTGCAGGCGCCACGACCGGCTCCGAAGCTGGAGATGGTGCGACGATTGGATCGGCCGTGGCGCCAGGGTAGCCGGCTGGAGGGATCGGGAGTAGAGATGCCGGGGTAGCCGGCACAGGAGAGCCGTCAGAGGCAGGCGTCCCAGTAGCATCACTGGGGACGACATGGATCTCCCGGTCGCCCTTCTTCGCCAATTTTTTGACGCGTTTAGAAGGGCGAAGGACATCAACCTCCGGCTCGGCCTCTCGGTGGAGGCGTTTGGAGGGGGCTGTCCGCTCAGTGGCGATGGTTTTCTTGGGCACCACCTTCTTCACTCTCGCCGCCGCGGCAACCACTTCGGCCTTCTTCGACCCACGACCCCCTGAAATAGCAACGTAATTGTTAAACAAGGGCAAGTTTTGAAATGGCGAAGTAGTTTCAGTAATATACCTTGAGCCGACTCCTTAGGTTGGGTCGAGGGTGCTAGTCCCGGCCGGTCGCCAAAGACTTTGCTCACCACGTCTTCGATTGAGGCGCCGAAGAAGTCGCAGATGTACGCATCCCACCAATCCCCAAAGGTATCGGTGCCCAAGGATTCCGGAACGGTTGGGCGAAGACGGAACTTCTTACACCGATCCTGGAATTCTTGCTCCGTCGACCGGCATTCCCTCTCGGAAGAACCAGAAAGGCGCCCCCGGCTCAAGAGGGAACGGGAAGCGAGCAGAGGAACGGGGCAACCTTGGAGGTAGCCGAGTTGCCGGGCGACAAAGTGAGGATGGTAGACCTCCCAGCTGGCTCGGCGGGCGTCGCAACCCAGGGGAAGGTCGCGAGCCAGTACGATTGACCCCCAAGACTGTCGGAGGCCCGCGTCCTCGATCTCGGCCCAGGCTGCCGTCGGGAGCCTGATCGAGGCAGGGTATTCCTGGTGCCGGCACACCAAGAACTCGTCATCCGAAAGGACGTCGAGGCCAAAAAAATGCCTAAGAACCTCGTCGGCCCGGTGAGGAGGGGCCGGTCGAGATGCCAGTTGGGGGCCAAGGGCGGCCGAGCGCTGGAAGGTAGGGACTTCAGGCCGAAGAGTGGAGAAGTAGACCTGCAGCCAGAGTTGAAAGACCCAGAGGGGCCCATTCTGGTGCGGATCAATCTTGTTGATGGTCGTCTCGGCCAAGCAACGAAAAAGGTTGGCAAGAATAGCCGGGCTGAGCGCCAGAAGGTGACCACTAGCCAGAGCCTGGGCCACCGGCATATTCTCGACCAAACATTTGTTCGATCTGGTACAACAAATAAACTTGTTGTACCAGTAGAAGAGGAAGGCTTCGTGTTCCCCCTTCCTGAGACTCTCCTCGCCCCGGCCGGCGAAATGGAGGATGAGAGTATTATAATTAAAGAAGTTTTTGTGGAGCTTGTGAACTTCTTCCTTCGAAGGCTCCCGGCCACCCCGACTGAGCGTTTCGACGGCCCGCTCGTCGAAAAGCGCCTTCAGGTCGAGGAGGGAGGGGCATCCTGAAAGAGCGGCATCGATTGGGAGGCCGGATGGAGAAGTCCCAAGGATTGCCGAAATATCGAGGATCGTTGGGCCGAGGGGGCCGAATGGAAGGACCATAGTGTTGGTGGCCGAACACCAAAGAGTCAAGGCCGCCATAAGCAGCTCCTTGTCCATGGTAATCTCCATGGTCGAGAGCAGGATGGCATCATAGATACCAAGGGTTTTCCACTCCTCGCCAAAGAATGACCTCATTCGGTCCACCCAGGCGGCCCAAGCAGTAGTGGTCGAGGGCCAAGCTCCTTGAGGCCGCGCCAGGGTCCACTTCGACCAATCGAACCCCTGCAGCAGGGGTGTTAGGCATTGCTCCTTGAGCAGGTCAGTGATAGGCGACGGCACTGCGTCTCTGAAGAGGGGACCCAGAATCTGGTGGGTGGTGGCCATGTCCTCTTCAAATCGCAGCGTCTTGATAGCGCTCCGATCGATGAAATCCTTACACTTGTTGATCTCCTCGGAAAGTTTTGCGATGAAGGAAGCCATTAGTGTAATTTGGAAGAACTGGAAAATTGCAGAAAGGAAAGCTAGAGGGTTTGGTTTGAATAAGCAAGAATGATTAAAATGTGCAAGTTTGGGAATTTCTGAAAGTGTAAGATATGATTAGGTGAAGTGTGGGTATTTATAGGCTTTTCAGACGAAAGATCAAACGTCTGAATTTCAAAAGACACTGGAATTCAAAAGGCGTGGGTTCAAATTGGGGGGAAATGTGACCGGGAAAGTCTGCAATCATTTCGGATTTTTTTTGGGAACCTGCGAAAATGGAATCGAGGAGTCGAAAATCCAGGACGCACGATTGCGTGCGGAGACAGGTTCAATGTATTAATAAAGATAGGGCGATTCAGTTTGTGCAAGTTTTCGAGGCCCATGATTGAAGCTTTTAAGAACGGCGTAAAAATTGACGCGTGGCCACGCGTTGGGGGCAACGAAGGAGGCGCAATCATGTCTCATAAATATGCAGGAATAATGGTCATTAATGAAGTAAGGTCCAAAAAGCAACAAATGTTTTCGCTTCTTCAAGGCCGAGAACCGACCAAGAGTGACAGCCGGCGACCTCAGAAGCGAGGGGGCAATGTTTGGGCCCAAATATTATGATTGGGCCGAGCAGCAAGACGTGCTCGGCCCAGGGTAATAACACATGCTATGGGCCAAGTAATGAGACTCGGACCAGCTGGCAGGGTCGGCCAGATCCGATCTTAAGTAGTCCAGATAAACGAGGAAAGGTCGAGGAAATCCTGATGCAACCAGGATTCTCGACCGGCAAGGGATAGAACCTCAAAAGTAGGAGAATTCAGAATCCCAATAGGACTGGGATTGTTTGAGTTAAAGGTGAGATGGGACAAGGACTCCCAATCCAAATCAGAATGGGAATCAAGGAACGAGGTGCTATAAATACAAGAAATTACGCAATAGAAAGGCCTCCACAATCAGCATACAATTGCCCTGCGCAAATTCTCTCAAACACCTTGAGATTTTTCCTTTTCTTTTCCCGCCGACACACCTTCAGTTTGGATAAACAGCACTGTGGAAGCAACCGGTGAGCACCTTCAGTTTGGATAAACAGCACTGCTGCCGCAGAATCAGCCGACCAAGACACACCTTCAGTTTGGATAAACAGCACTGCGTCGAGGTCGACCGATTATCTATCTAAGTCTCGGCCGAGAAAGGTTTTCGAACCTTTGTTGGTAGAGGTCATCTTACTAAGCCGCTTCGGCATAGTTGGGTGTTACGAATTGCCTTGCTCGGCGCATTGGAGGCCGAGTGAGTTTATGATTGGATATTCACAAGTAAGTTTCAGGGTTCGGCATTCCGACGGCCGAACTACGTTTACCATCAAGACATATATCACATTCGAGTACCTGTGCCCGTATAGTTTGGTCTCAATTCGGCGTGCTTATACTCTTACGAATATAATCACAGTGGCCGAATCAGGCTTCGACGAGTTGTGAACTCCGTAGAATTAGTAGCCTTGTCTTCAGGCTATAGAATCCAGAGACCGAGAGCGTTCCTTCCTCGGTCGCAATCGCAAGATACAGAAGTCAACAGCGCGCTCAACGCGACCGCATCAAATTTTACTCCTCGGCCGAGCTCGGCCGACGAGTTGGCACGCCCCGCATTCAACCGAAGGACATTAGTTAGCTCATTAGTTATTCGGCCTGCGCGCCACGTAGGTTCTGTAATTTTTGTAGTCAACAACTTCCTAAAGTATTTCCCATACAACCGACTATTTTTCCCAAATTTTACTCTTAGCAACTCCTATATTCGAAGCAAAATGTTGTCTAATTAAACCACGAATTACAAATGTCTGGAAAAAACTATATTGCTATTTTGCGAGACAATCCATATCAATGTAATGAAAGTGAGGGACTTACGACAATCACAGAATGCCCCAAATAATCAACCCATTTGCCAAGCAAAGTCTCATGAAATCTTCCCTTCCTTCCTTCAATTACATTTAGAAACGACTTGTAAACGTTATTATGACTATCCCTCGTTGGCAGTGGCGGATTCTCTATCAAGAAGTACTCCAGCTTTCACCTCCAATATCCTTTCGCGGCAGACGAATCAAAATCCCCTCCGGACTGATCCGCACGAAACGCGAAACGTGGCGGGAGCCAACGTGGACACAGGGGTACAATCGTCAATTCATATAAAAAAAGGTCGGTAATGAAGAACAATAAACAACTGTCAGGCGCAAAATCCCCATCCTACCCTCCCCTCACCCTCGCTCTGACCCACAGCTCTTTCTGCTCGAAGTTCATCACCATCCTAATCTACAAATGCCTTCCTCCATCAAAGTTCGAAAATTGAAATCTGCCCATTTGAAGTCGATCGATTTCCTCCGAAGAAATGCTCGTTTCGGCGCTTTTAACGTCGGTGGGAATCAATCTCGCCCTCTGTCTCTTGTTCTTCACTCTGTATTCAGTACTCAAGAAGCAGCCCAGCAACGTCCGCGTCTATTCGCCGCGCTCGTTGGCGGCCAAGGGGGCGTCGGAGGAGAGCAACGGGTTCAATTTCGAGCGGCTGCTGCCGACGGCGGGCTGGGTGAGGAGGGCGTGGCAGCCCTCTGAGGACGAGTTTCTGTCCGTCACCAGCTTGGATGCTGTCGTCTTCATGCGCATTTTTATCTTCAGGTTAGTGGGGGTAGAAAAATGGTGATCTGCTGCTTGCTGGGTGTGTTGAGAGTACTTTTGGGTGTATATTTGAGTTGGTTTTTGTTTCTTTTGAGCTTTCGATGCAGTTTGAGAGTGTTTGGGTTTGCTGGGTGTGTTGAGATTAATTTTGGGTGCTTTGTTTATTGTTTGTTTTGGTGCAGTTTGAGAGTGTTTGGGTTTGCTGGGATTGTTGGGGTTTTGGTTCTGCTTCCGATAAATTTTCTGGGGGACCAGCTGAACCGGGATTTGGATATTTCGGATTTGCCCAGTACGTCATTGGACTCCTTCAGTATTTCGAATGTGAATGCCGGCTCGAAATGGTAATTATTAGTTCATTGTGGGAAATTTTGATGACCAAAGTTATTAACTTGACATGAAATTGCAGTATTTGAACAGTGTCTGTTATACTCTTTTGGTTGTTGCCTGTTCTAAACTGGGTTGAAGTGTCATATTTCTACACATTGTTCCCCGAATGCAGTGATTTCCCGTTCTTTGGAATTCAATTCTATCGAATTTATGGCATTTTAAGTTAGTGAGGCACTCAAGGTGAAAAACCTAGGACATACCGGATTCCCCTTGCCAATGGTCGTAACCAAGTTGTATGCTTTTTCTCTCTGTGCTTGAACATGTAAAAGCTAAAGGAGGCAAAAAAAGTGTGCACATAGGTTGACATTTGGATATAGGTCTCAATGTGTCTTTTAATTTCTCTGGGAGAATTTTTGTCAGACCCAACGAATGTAAGCTTACTTGGGATATATTGTCATAGAGCTCAGCAACCGGGTTGGAGTTTTCTCTTCTTGTGCTTGCACATTCATAGACTAGAAGGTGAGACTGCAGTTGTTCAAGCTCATGCCGAGATTTGGACTTTTCTCGGTTAAATAATTTTCTCACTTGTTATTCAAAATAACTTCAACAAGTACATCTATGTGAAGTTTTCTTTTTTCCTCATTGTTGTTGCTAGATCATTTTCAAGTACATTTTATTATATTTATATTAAGCACAGTAAAATTATTCTGAAGGTACCCTGATAATTAATTTTGGTTTCCCAAGGTTATGGGTTCACTTCTGTGCAGCATACATTGTCACCGGATTTGTCTGTTATCTCCTTTATTATGTAAGTTTTGTTTTGTTTCTCTTTCATGGCTTATTCCATCACAATTTTCCGTTTCATTGAAAAGAAATAATCAATTGTGATTTTAACTTCATGACTATAACTGCAGGAGTATAGCTATATCTCATCGAAAAGAATTGCTCATTTCTATTCATCCAAACCTCAGCCTAATCAGTTTACGGTAGTAGTTCGTTCTGTTCCTGTATCATCTGGGAGCAGCTGCAGTGAGACTGTTGAGAGTTTTTTTACAGAGAATTATCCTTCTACTTATCTTTCACATTCAGTGGTTCGTCGAACTAACAAACTCCAAGGGCTCACAGTAAGTATCTGTTATAGATTTAATCTTTTGTCCTCACACCGACAGGGGTCAGAATTGATTGTGGGAGTTTATTTTTGAATATTTTGGAAAATAAGTGTGAGACCTCATTTGTTTTTCACTTATAATCCTGACATGTGCCTATGCTCGATTGCATTCTTTATTGGATAATCCTGACAATGTGGCAGATAATCAAAGACATGATAGAACTGTTTATGTACCCTTAATACCTCATTATTCTTTGCTGAAAAACGAAATCTTTATGACTTAATTTGTTCTTGAGTTCTGTCATCTTCATTGGGTTGACTTTTTAGTTTTTACAAGGCTAAGCTTTTGGAACATTTAATTACTTAATTAAATAGTTTTCAATGAGTATCAGACTTAAGCCCGAACGAGTTAATGTTTTGGTTGTTTTCTTAGTCCCTGCTTGGTGCTTCTGTAATTATTATGTGTATTCTATTCAGATTATTACACGTCACACTTCGGAGTCCCTTTCTACTTGCTTCATCCCACACTGCCTAGGTGTTCGTCGTACTTGTATTTTTTGGGTTTCTGAAACATCACACTTACAGCATTTGAACAAAACTGTAACAGTTAACATTTCTCTATCAATGAGATATGTGAACAATTCATTTTCTTTTCTTGGTAGAGTGAGGCAGGGAAACTATACAGAAAGCTTATGCGCCTGAGATCAGAAACTAATACTCAGCAAAGATTCAAGCGTGATGGCTGTTGGGGGCTGTTTGGACGCAAAGTTGATGCTTTAGACTACTATGGAAAGAAATTGGATGATTTAGAAGATAATGTGAGAATGGAGCAAACGTCAGTGGCAGGAAAGGTATTCATACTATTATTTTTTCAAGAGAGTGACAGTAATTGTTTGCTAATGGTATTGAAGAAGTTCTCCTCTGCTTAAGACTTCATTTAGCAAATTTTTAACCCGAGAGGTGAAACAAAAGTATCTGGGAAATATAATAGAAATGAGTAACGCACAATCTTCCTCTTATTATTTTTGTTATGTTAGCTTTAGGAATTGTACGAATAAACATGTATAGCCACATGTTGACTTGTAAAAGACATGTCGGAATTTTAGAGGAAAAAAAAAATCATAGTTCCAATAGATTTTTCTGAAATTGTTTGATTTATATGAACATGAAATTTGATGCATTCGTTCCATGATGCCCAAAAAATATTAATTATAGGACGTTGCAGCTGCCTTTGTGTCATTCAAGTCCCGGCTTGGTGCTGCAGTAGCTTTTCACATTCAGCAAGGAGAAAATCCCATAGAATGGGTTACCGAGAGGTCTCCGGAGCCCCAGGATGTTCACTGGCCCTTCTTTTCTGCATCTTTTATAAAAAGATGGATCTCCAAGCTGGTGGTGGTGGTTGCATATACTGCTCTTACAGTTCTATTCCTCATTCCAGTTGTAGTAGTGCAAGGCCTTACCAATCTTAATCAGTTGGAAACCTGGTTCCCGTTTCTGACAAGCGTACTGGACCTGTAAGTAGAAATTTATCAGTTTTACTAATTGACTCTTTTATTTACGACGTCTGATGAATTGTACAATTTCTTGACTTGCAGAACAGTTGTCAGTGCAGTCATAACAGGATATCTTCCAAGTCTTATTCTTCAATTGTTCATGTCGTTTGTGCCACCCGTCATGATAATGTTGTCTTCCTTGGAAGGATACATCTCTTTCAGTCAGATACAAAAAAGTGCATGCAGCAAGATGTTGGGGTTCACAATATGGAATGTTTTCTTGGCAAATACACTATCAGGAACACTTCTCTATGGGTTCGAAATCTTTCTTGAGCCCAAAAAGATTCCGGGGATACTTGCTGATGCTGTTCCAGCACAGGTAAAAATACATACGTCATGTTAGCATGTATCATTCTCTCGCTAGAATAATCATATTAATTTTTAGTTGCTTTTTGCAACTTCATTACATTGTGTAACTGTTTAAAGTGCAATGTTAAGACCGGAAATTTGAATTTTGCTTCCTGGTCAGTTTTTTCCTGATCCGTAACTTTTGAAAAACTTATCCTCGATCATCATCAAATTATAATATTGGTGATAATGTGAAGAATTGTTATCAATAAAAAACCAGTGGTACTTCTATGATCGTATATTTGTCAGGTGAACTTGAGATTCAGTTGAAGTGCTATATTTTTAACTTTTGAAACCAATTGTTTGCATCACGAATTCATGATGAAGGTATTATATAGATTTGTTATCTTGGATGCAGGCATCATTCTTCATTGCATATGTTGTGACATCTGGATGGACCAGCCTTCTATCTTCAGAACTCTTCCGCGTGACTCGCCTGATTTTGAGCATCATAAAGAGACCATTTTCAGGAAAAGATGATGAATTTGAAGCTCCTTCAATTCCATACCACAGTGCAATTCCTAAAGTTCTCTTTTTTGGACTCCTCGGATTAACATACTTCTTCCTCGCTCCACTAATTCTCCCGTTCCTCGTGGTTTACTGTTGCCTGGGATACATAATCTTCCGTAACCAGGTTAGTTCGATGCTCTCTTATTGTATAAAAATTAATTTCTAACTATAATAAACCAACTATAATTTAATTTAGAGAGAAGATGGACATGGGTGGTGGGAAGTTGGTATTAAGGACACAATACAACTTCACGTTTTGAAAACTCCCAATGCAACTTATTGGGTCCTTCTTAGTAACTATTAGCGTTTCAAATGGATCGGACTGAAACTCCAAAATTTAGGTTGTGTCATGACTAAATATTGGTGCTAGGGTAATGAGAAATAAATTAAAAAATTGGTGGCAACCCCAAACTCCTCTTGCACCGTCAAACCTCAGACAAGGAAAGCTTTCTGCAAGGTCAATTTTTCGCTTCGTTGTTATGTCTTGAATTTTTGGCAATTCGTTTTAGTGATCTTAGAAGCACATATAGGACCCTATTCAGTTGAGTTACTAACTTATACTCAAAAAGTAGGCTGACAATTTGACATTACTTCATATTTTGTACAATCTAAGTATATATTTGGTCATTGATCGAAGTTTTATTGTAAATTTTGTTGTATTTAACAAGTTTTGGTTCTTTTTATTCTGATGTTATATATTGACAATTTTGAACAGTTTCTGAATGTATATGAACCCAAGTATGAAACGGGTGGAAGATTTTGGCCAACGGTGCACAATTCAACAATTTTTTCCTTGGTGCTGATGCACATTATTGCAATTGGAATGTTTGGGCTCAAAGAGATCCCCTTAGCGGCCGGTTTGATTATTCCTCTTCCGATTCTCACGCTTCTTTTCAATGAGTACTGCCGCAAACGATTCCTTCCAATATTCCAAGACTATCCAGCTGAGGTATGTTGGTACTAATGCTATCAACTTTTCGTTTATTTCATTTGCAACGGAAGTATAATTAGTTAATGTTCCAAATCTGGTTCTTACCCTGAATATACCCTATCTTTTCAGACCATCGATATCTGACAGTGACATCGAATTGGTTATCATTAATATGGTTCCTTGTATTAAAAACTTAAGGAATATATATCTCAGCCGACGATTTGGCATGTATATAAGAACCTCATTACTGCGTTTTGATGCAGTGTTTGATAAAGAAAGATAGAGAAGACGAGAAGGATCCCACAATCTCTGCATTTTATGAAAAGTTAACCACTGCTTACAGGGATCCAGCTCTGTTGCCAATGCAGCATCCGCGGAGCACTGATGGATACAGGTCTCCCCTTCTTCAATCCGTCGTCTGAAGCAAGCTTACCTGTCTCTACGAAAATAAAAAACGAAGAACGAAACAGCTTTTGCCGCGAATACAGGGACAGAAGTTTTGGCTAAAAGTGTAGGTAAGATTGTGTGTGGTGAGTCTGTATTTTCATGTAAAATGTGACGAGTGTGATCTTTCAGTTAGGCTTGTAAACCATGTGAATTTTTTGGAGAAGCACCTCTCGTCTATAAGTGATCCTGGCTTTCCAAAATCACTTCCAAACAAACCCTTGATTTCGAGAAGTAGAGTTGTATGGTAAACATTTATTGCTATCGTAATGATTGTCGTTGTAATATTAGTAACCTTTCACATCTTTATTGATATATGCGGTTTGAATAACGTGTATTTTCATGCATAAATATTTGTGTTGAATGATATTCCAATTCTTAAACGTGAAATATCGCACGACATTATGTGATTAGCTTTAGATATTGGTTACAGTTGTGTCCCAACGTAGAAAATTTCTTTTTATACTTTCAACTAACTTAACTAACTTTTGGCAACCAATTCCCAAAACATGCTGATTCTGATGTTCCATTTGTCAACTCAAAACCCCACTTCTACAACATTGTTGAAGATTGGAACAGTTCCATTTTTCCAGATTATTAACGTAAGACTTTGACATTTGTCAACCTTACCTATAATTTATGTGATTTATGTCACTTTTATTTTTCCTTCTTAATTTTCTAGAAACAGCCTACATTTTAGAAATTGGAGGCTTAAGGATGTTGACATTTGGCTTGTTTTCTGGCCTCCACGTGGAGCAACAACAAAGGGCTATTGACATGTTCCTTAGAAAACATTTTTGGTCAAAATGTACCCTTATTTTTTAGGTCAAATGTCAAAATGTCCCTTAGAAAACGTTAGGATGACAAAAAATTTAGGTTTAACTTGACGCAATGTTATTAACTACCCTTTCCATGCTAACTTTAAATAATGTTCTTTGTAATTTAAATTAATTAGGGTGATGAACACATGACATGCAGACATGGCAGTACCACAAACCTTAAGTGCAGTACAATCTATATTTTTCTTCTTCATAAGGGGAAAAAAGGAATAGTGACGTAACTTGTGCAGAAGCAGGGCCGGTTGTAACTTTCAATAAAAACTAGAACTGGATGGACGCTAAACTGATAAGAAAGATGTACTAAAAAAAGAAAACAAAAAGAAATATTGTCCGTAAATTGTGCAAAAATAGAGTTGGTTATAATTTCTAATAATAAATAGATTAAATAGACAATAAAAATAAGGTAGTGCTATTTACACATTTTTTTACTTATTACACATCATTGTTAATTTTTTTGTCCATTGATCTTCATAAATTTATTCGATTCGACAGCCCGAAATAAAAAGAGGTTTGTGAGAAGCAAAATAAGTTTGAAGATTACACCACCCTAAAAATACACATGTAACTTTTAATAAAAAATAAAACCTCATGGACGATAAACAGACAAAAAGAGATGCAATAAGCCAAGATATAAATACAATTTATTGTATATATAGTGCGTATCCCTTCAGATTTAATTCTATTGGAAACTTGTAACCAATTTATTGTAAATACTTTCCTAGATTTTAAAGAATCTAGGTAATTACTATTGAGAAATGCTAAGGAGACTCTCTAAAAAATCGGACTTTTTATGGACTCTCTACAATCTCATATTTTTTGCATAGTAGTTTATAATGTTGGCACGGAAATTAATTTTAAACTATGAGGTGGCAGAAAGTCCATGAAGAGGAGAAAATATTCATTGTGTCCAGAACATGAGTGACACATTACGTGTCATTATATAAGTGAGGGAAGTTTTATTTTTAAGTTGTTAATATTTTAAACAAGTATCTCATCATTTGTATAGTAACGCGTGATGTACCGTCTCATCTCCAGACATATGAAAAATATAACCTCACTTTCAGAGATTCTCTTTAGCATTTCTTTTTATTTTTCAATTTTTATGGTTTAATGGTTAACTTCAAATGTGAACAATCGAAAGATTCGGCAGCCTCGGACTTGTTCATCTCTTCCTTTGTCCATGGCCGCCATACAATCCGTTAGATTTGCTACCTGATCTTTTTTAATTACCCTTTTTTGCTTCTTCTTTTGTGTTTACATAGTTGTTTTTTGTCTTAAATCTTCTTCACTGGTGTGTTCTTGCTAATTTGTGCTTTCTCAGATGTCAAATCAACCGTTAACCCAACAAAGTTGCTAACTTCCTAATACTAACCAACCCAACAAAGTTGATAACTGCTTAATGATAATTATTAATCTTGATGTTTTCGGAAAGTTTGAACGTAGGATCGTAAACGGTTATTCGGAACCCATAACATCTCTGAAATGTCTTACATGGCTTTTAAGAAGCTTATGGTGTAGAAAAAGACATTTTAGTCAAAATGGTTATAAGATTGACATAATTTCTCATTTTGATCATTGAGATTTAAAATCGATAGAAATTGTCTCAGAATTTATCCAACATCAATCATTTTGGTCATTGTGTGAAAAATTTCTGTTAAATAACCAAAATGATAAAAATACCCTCAGCTTAATAAACAATAGGTCAAAATGATTTGATAAAAATTGAAGGTATTTTTGTTGTTTTTCCTTAGTTGATGGAAATTTTTCACAGAAATACCAAAATGATTTAAGGTGGATAAACTTAAGGACCAGTTCTATGTGCTAGAGTGGGCTGGACATGCTTCCTTGTAGGGGTGGCTTTGTAAAAATCGATCTTCTTAACTTTTTTTCATGAATGATTAGCCTAGTAGGGTTAATTTACTGTGAGGTTATTTACCCAAGGCAATGTAAATTTTGACCTCATATGGCCATGAAAGTGACATAAAACGCGTTGTTCTACAAGTCACATCCAAGATTAAAAAAAAAAAAAAAATTAAGAATGTTTGCCCCTTAATTTTTGTCCCATCATAAGAAAGCTAGTGGCTTTAGCTTTAGGAGAAAATCTGGATCCAGTGTGTTAGATTTGGTTGGGATAGGAAGAGCAAATTGGAACCGTCGCCGAATTATTATTTAGAAATTAATATCATTTGAAAATACTTTTAAAATAATTTAAAGTACTTAAAAAAAATGATTTTAGATTTTAAAAGTACTTAAAATGCTTCTTCAAAGAACTGGTGCTTCTTGTAAGAAGCATTTCTAGTACTTTTGCAAGATTCACTTGTATTTTTACTAAGAATTGATTCCAAAAATATTTTACCAAAATCATTTTTAATCATGTTAAAGACACTTCCAAATGAGCCTTTAGTGTCGGTATTTCATGAAAAAGGTTTGGTAAGAAGACTATCAATTTAAACCATATTTTGTATATCATATGACATGGTTGTTGAAGATTATATTATTATTTAAGTGTTAATTAACGTGCTTATTTTCTATTTGTGACACATCACATCGTTTATGATCTAAAAAATGGTTTACTTAACATTACTCTTCATGAAAATGTCATTGTCACATACATTATTAGTGTTAGTATTATTATTTTTATACGAGCGAAATTGTGGGATGGAGAACTCAAAATGAGAATTGGATAAGTGATCTTGCATGCAAGGATGAATTCTTTCAATCACTTGTGCTGCAATCCCCTTGTATTAAGGTAATCTTATTGTATATAAATTCAAATGTGACTCTATGCAGTTGTTTGATAATCATTTCATTTTTAGTTTCTATTTTTCACTTTTTTTATTAGAAATAAAAGGAAATGCAACGAGGGAAGGAAGGGTGAACAAGGATAGCAGAATGGTGGTGGAAAGATATAGAAAAATGTACATAGAATGGTACAAAACAAAAAAACTAAAAACAATTTTATGTAGATTTTCATTTCTAGTTTTATATTTTCATTTCGTATGTCATTTTGTGCATTTCTCCGTCTTCTCTCCTACCAGACTTCCTCCATATCCTTGATTAATCTATCATTTCAGGATTTCATCTAGGGAAGTGTAGAGTTTTAAATTCAAAACGGATGAGTAGAAACTCAATACCTTATCTGTCAGGATATTAGATCACATGTTTCCGGTAGATGTTCATTCCTCTAGTAGATGAACTTAAATAAACCCCTAGTTGCCTTAGATGACTTTCAATAAGGGTGGTGATCAATTTGGTGGAAATTTTTTCTAAGCTGGTTTAATTAATATAATTATCCTGTACCGATATGGATCTTCTGCCCCTAATTGTAATTAGCTCACTAAACATATGTTGATCTAATTAGGCTCCATTTGTTGTCCATCTTCAGCATCATTTGATTAATTGTTTTGCTCAATGCTGATGATGCACTTGTAATTGTTTTCATCAGATATTCAATACAAGGGTACAATTAGTCCCTATCTTTACTTCTATGTTTTTATCTCCTTGGTGCTAAAACGTCACTCACTAATTTTATAAAATATAGTTTATTAAACATATAAAATACATGTAAAAGAAGATACGACTAGTTCAAGCTCACAATTCCATATAATTAATTTTGTGATACATATTTTTAAAATAACAACAGTCTTCTCGTCCTTCTCGAAGGAGGAAAGTTTTATTTTTAACTAATGTGACATTGTTTCATCAGATCATAAGATAATCGGGATAATTCATTCTTTTGATCATCATCGAAGAATTATGTCTAAAAAAATTCGTTTCACTTGGAGTCCGTTTAGTCAATCATATGTGTCAAACAAATCAACAATTATGATAACAAATAACGTCTTTATGATAAATTGGTAACTTGTTTGATACACACGACTTAGCAATCTCTTAATTAAATGAGTTTTTCTAGATATGATCATTGGACTGATAGCATAGAAGAGAGATCATATTGGCATCTTTGGCTCGGTCAAATTTAACAGTTGCAGGTCTCTTTCAATTAGGTTACTGTTTATTGCCCGAGATTAATAAGAACAAAGAGATAAAAACAAACGCTATAAGACCATTTCATATTCAATCCTGTGAAAAAATCTTCCTATTCCCCGCATATAAATATGCACATTAGCATCAAAGCCTCCAACTTCAATTAAATCAATCACTTGCAAGTACAAAACATAAACTCAAAAGAACTTAATAGCTAGTGGCTAGAAATGGCAAGGAAGAGAAAAGTTAGTGAGGGAGTGGAAGACAACAGCGCTACTTCAAGTGAGGGAACCATGGGTTGGGATGAGATGGTGAAGGAAGCTTCTGCTGTCGCCGAGCTAGGCGGAGCACGTAGGGCGCGAAAGCGCTTTGTTGGTGTCCGGCAAAGACCCTCTGGAAGATGGGTGGCCGAGATCAAGGATACCATTCAAAAAATTAGGGTTTGGCTAGGCACCTTTGACACTGCTGAGGAAGCAGCTAGGGCTTACGATGAGGCTGCCTGCTTGCTTCGCGGTGCCAACACCCGAACCAACTTCTGGCCTTGCTCCCATTCGCCGTCTTCAACCCCGGCGCTCCCCTCGAAGATCACAAACCTCCTCCTCCAGAGGCTGAAAGCAAGAAACAACGCCAACTCTTGCTCTCCTCCTTCTGCTCCTCTCCCTATCATCAACCACCAACACGATAACAATCTTCACGAACAAGCAGCAAAAACCGAATTGTCTGAAACATACACGGATTTCCTCAACGATCCCGAAGATTACTACATCACAAGCAGCAACAATCATGACATCATCACTGATCATATCAGTGCAAGCAGCATTGACTACATGACATCGAGCTTAGAGTCATGCTTAACTAACAAGGAAACTGATCACATAGAGTACGGTAACTTGAGTGAATTGGTGCAACAGACTTACAGCTGCGGAGATGCAAATTTCGCAGCAGAAGGATCGGAGGAAGATGTTGATCCAGAACAAGAACAAGAAGAGGAAATGAACGGAGATCAAGTTGGAGTTATAGACTTCCAGTTTGTCGATGATATCGGAGCATCCAACTCAAACTGCTACTCTCCATCGCCTTTCGAGATTGCTGAGGAGATAGAGGAGCCGGTTCTGGAGGCTGAGAGCTACACCGACGAGCCTTCGATGCTGAGAGCCGCCATGAAGAGAATGAAGTACGAGAGGAAGTTTTCGGCTTCTCTCTACGCCTTCAATGGGATTCCCGAGTGCTTGAAGTTAAGAATCGGATCGGTGAATGGGAATGGGAAAGGTAGAGGGGTGTCTGAGTGTTTGAGCAACCTTCAGAGAGCGTGCGGTAACAAGAAAGAAGAGGAGGTTGTTGTTACTGTGGGGGCGGCGGGGGAACACCAACGAAATGATTCGAAACAGGAGGAGCAGGGTTCATCAATGGATGTTTCTCTGAGTGGTGATGGTGAATTGTCACTCTGGAGCTCACTTGATCTGCCGCCAATCTGCTTTTTGTCAACTAATTAGTTCTTCTTATTCTTTTTTTTTTCTTTCCTTTTTTTTTCTTTTTTACCAAATTCATGCTCTAATTTGATTCCACACATCAATCTGGAATTCCATTCTTTGCAATATTTTCTGATATTCTAATATATTTCAAAGAAATAGTGAATTTTATGTAATTCGAACTTTGGGTTCAAACTTCGACCCGATGAAGTAATAATAAAGGAATATGTTTTCCTCAACTCATATTTTTTCCTTCAGTGTTCGTTACCTTGTCTTGTTTTTGCCCCTTAATTCCTTTTTTATTATTTTTATTCCAATGTGTAGGAGTACAAAATTCATTTCCTATAATTCTTTAAAAAAATATAACAAATAAAATAAATTAGCAGGTTTTGTTGTATATTTGATTCAATAATTTGGAAATTTTGAGGTTTTGTTTGGTGTGTATTGGACATAAGCTAAAGGGAAAACACATGTTAGACAAACACAACCCAAACTAATAATTTGCAAGATCCTTTTAAAACTAAGCAATTCAGAAAGTTAATGAAATCTCTATCGAGAGCTGTTATTGACCAATTATAATTAGATATCGAACTTTTCATCCTTATGTAGAAGCTAACACCTAGATGAGCATAACCGCCTGTGCAAGTGATTGTTTCTTTTACACACCACAAGAGATGATAACAAGTAGGCAAAAGTTGATGTAGACGTTTCACCTGAATTGATTGATGATGGTAAATGATTTACAACTACAACAACAGAACCTTATTTCATTAAATAAGATCAGATCAGCTATGTAAATTCTAGAACGCCACTACGCTCAATTTAACACCGAGTTTCCCGTTAACTTCAAGTACTCTATATCTTTTCTGTAAGTTTTTGTTAAAATCTTCCCAAGTCTTCCTATACCCTTTTTGACTTGACTCTCTGACTCATTATCGCATTTTCTAACCGGAGCATCTGTATACTTTCGTTGCATAAATAAATTACAGTACTTTGAAATACACTGAATTGTAAGGATATGTTAAAGCATTTCTCCAAGGGAGGTCAGTTCTTTCTTTCATACTAATTTGTGTTCGTAAAGAGGAAAATTCAGGACAGACCCACTTCAAATACCAAACTAGAAATAACTCGGCCTACGCCAGTGTTGAACACTGGCTCAATAACAAAACGATTACCCATATAAAACTCGGGAATGCGACGGAAATAAGTACAGCAGCACCAACTGAAGGACAGATTATATATACAAATTGCGAGGTTTTTTTCCCAAGCATCACGATAGATTCACAAAGGACTTGTTGAAGGCCTAGCTCTCTACCTCTAAAGGACACGAAGTTGGGCAAGGAAAGCAGCACAAAGATCCAAGAAGAGAAACTGCGGACCCTGAACCCTCTGAAGATCAAGCAGGTACTTCTCCGCCGGAGTTTTGAAAAGCTGTTAATACCCAAAACAGCGGCAAAATGTCAGGATTATGTTCTGGACAGATGCTCGAGCAGTGAACTCCTTTGATACCAAAGACAATAGTAGATTGATGACTGAATGGAACTAGAAAAAGTATGGGATTAGGGAGCGATCTAACAGAAACTCTTACCTGCACTTCAAACTTGACCACATTTGGCATCTTCATAGCACCATCATTTTCGATGATGCTGGACTCATCTCCAAAATAATGGTTACTGTGCACAGGGTTGTCGATCATGCCTTCGTTTTGACCTGGATTGTCAAGAACCCACCTACACTTCATGTTGTAGTGTCCTATCTTCTTCCAACTAACCCGCAATTCTTGTAAAGCTTTAAGGACTTCTGTCATTATTTCACGAGGATGTGCTCGAGACTGGCAATAAAAGGCAGCAATAGATCAACAACAATCATATTAAAGTTTGAACTTCACTCCATTTAACGTCTAGGAGAGTTGCTCCCAAATAATAATACTTAGCCAAAAGCCGAAGAAATTTAACCTGAAGTCCAAGAGCCCATTTCCTTTCAACAGGGAACTGTGGTTTAAAACCCATTCCTTGATACTCCATATATCCAGGAAGGCGGTGCCCAACAGGTGAAGCAGCAGTCTCACTTTGCTGCATACGATTGAAACCACATTCCTGGACCATATCAATAAAAATGAAACACGAATTGTGCCAAGTCTTAACAGAAACTGAACAGCAGAGAAGAATATATGATGAGCTTGATAAAAACAATTCAAGCTTTTGAATAAATTTGCCCCACTCATGTTATGTAAATCTTGGCCTAAATTATGTTCGTTCACAAATCTATCATATTCCTGTATCAAATGCTGTAAAAGTTCCCCCTAACTTCTTTCTTCTTTCACGTTGTTATATTATGGCCAACAGGCTTAGTCTTTGGCCTTAAAAGAGAAAATTTTATTTTCTAACCAAGCTGTTGGTATAATATCGAAAACGGATGACACATACCACAGTCTCCTGAAACTCAGCTCCAAGATAGCCACTGGATACACGGAAACGGTTGTCCAATAACAAATAGTATGCAACTGTTCCCTGAAACATGATGCAGATAGTAAGTCTCAGTTGGAAAATCAAGAGGATGAGATCCTAAGGTACAAACCTCATTCTGTACTCTACTACGAAGAGACTCAACCAGATGGTTCCTGTCAAATCCCATCTTAACTACCTCCTGAAGAATTTCCTCATCAATCTGCATAAAGAAGGGTTACACTTCAGAACTTATGATATAATATCATGTAACCAAAAGACAAAATCCCAAGTCCTCCCCAAAAGAAGTAAACATCACAACAATAAAAAGGCCAAAATACTGACAATGGACCATAAAAAACAACCAGTGTGGATGGTAATCTTGAAAATTGTTTGTGCACATGCACTTGTCCATGCAGCATAAATAAAAACATGCAATACAAACACACTATGGACATGCCAATACAAAACTGAGAAAAAAATGGAATACAGTGAGCAAGGATCAGCTATGTGTTAACACTTGTTACATTAAACTATGGACCAAAAAACCGAAATATTTCACAATTCCATTTAAACAACGTGGCAAATATCACTTGGCACATCTTGAAGAACAAACCAGAACATTTATTATAACTGCAATACAGGAGATACAAGGAAACCTTTTTTGCTTGTTGCATGGTGTCTGGTGGAGGAACAGCTAAATAACGAGGAAGATGAGCCTGGAACCATGCATGATGTCGAATCTCAGGAATGGTCATTCGCTTCATTGGATCAACTACGAGCATTCTTGGAATCAAGTCTCTTGCACCAGGTGACAAATGACTAGGAAGAGTGTATATCCCACCCTGAAGACAAAATGACGTAGGCTTAGGCCAGATAACTAATCTGCAAGCATATAACTATTTGATTCATGATATGCTATAGCTTGTTTAATATAGATAGTGAATGGAAAATTTGATTGTCAGTGGACGCAAAAGCCACAACAGAATTAGATCTTAATATAATTCGAAAACAAAAGGAAAATATATCTGATGAAAACTAAAATATCAATTTTATAGTAAACAAAAGAACCAGATCTAGCAATACCTTTATTTTCTTAAACAAGTTTGGAATATTTTCATCATCAAATGGAAGGGTGCCACAAAGAAGAGCATATAGTATAACTCCACAACTCCACACATCCACTTCAGGCCCAGCGTACAGCTTGCCAGATATAACCTACGAAAGATGAAACAGATGTATCATTGGAAAGAGAAATCAAGCCAAGATACAAAAATAATGTATGCAAACTACTTCAAAATAATTTAAAAGACATCTAACTGCAATCATTTTACCTCTGGAGCCGCATAATTCGGGCTGCCACAACTTGTCTTGAGAAAATGGCCATCACGCATTATGTTGCTCAGACCAAAATCAGCAATTTTCACATTGCATTTGGAATCCAGAAGCAAATTTTCGGGCTTTAAATCTCTATGAACAACCATATTCCTGTGACAATACTCTACGCCAGATATTATCTGCCAAAAAAAATATTAACTCATATAAGAAGCAAAACAATAGTAGAATAAATACAACAAGACAATTGACAAATCACCTGTTGAAAAAAGTTACGAGCTTCATCTTCCTGCAGCCTACCCTTCTCTACTATATAATCAAAGAGCTCCCCAGACTTCACATACTCCATCACGACATAAATGTCGGATGGTGTTTCAATGACCTCATAGAGTCGTATAATGTGAGGATGCATAAACAACCTCAATATTTTGATTTCTCTTCTCACTGCATCAAATTTAAGGGGAAAATGGAAAGATAATACAACCAAGTCCAAATTCTGAATTCAGGACAGAACTCTTAATTAGAAAGGACAAGTAATCAAATTCATCCATCGATTTACAAAGATAGAGGGCTGACCTTTCTCTTCCATTTCCATGTTCTTTATTTTGCGGCGGTTAAGGATCTTGATAGCAACTTTATGTCCAGTTAATGCATGCTCTGCAATTTTAACCTTTCCAAAAGAACCAATACCAAGAGTCTTTCCAAGCTTGTAATTTGGTAAATAAGTATCTGCACCGCTGCCACCACGGCCAACAGGTCCATCCATTTTCCTAATCTAAACACACAATCGAATATTCAGATAAATGTACAAGAGATAACACCAACAAAATATCATGCCAAGAAGATATCTCTCAGCCATAGACATCCTCATGGTCATGGTTAGCGGGGAGAAACAATAGCGAATTTATGTAATAACTAATAAGAGATGCACCACCATATAATGACAGTTAAGGTCACATAGTAATGTCCATATATACTTTTGAAAGATACCTCTTAGTCATTGATCAAATAAAAAATAATGAATATACCCGCGTAGATTTTTAAAAAGTAAGAATAAATTCAAGACCCGAGAATTGTATGACACATATCCTCACTTTCAACTGGTTCCTATTTTATTCTTAGTTTAATTGTCCCAACTAATCGCCCCTGGTTCCATATTTCACACCCTTCTCTCTTTCTACTCCGGCTCTCTACTCTAGCTAACAGTTTGTGATTCTTCAAGTGTACATATAGAATTACTCAAACCCCACCAGGATTGGAAAAGCAAGGCACCACACTTGATTTCACATACTTCATAACAGACATTTAATCTGTAAGTTTGTAAGTACAGATGAAATTCACACTCCAACGTTTTTGTATAGCCATGGAAATGATAAAAGTAAGCAACTTTGATTGGATCTGTAATTTCACCCACATAAACAACATAAAAAGTTAAAATTTTTCCATTACTCCAACACACCACAAGATAAAAAAGCTATCTATCTTAGAATTGCCCTCCCATCCTCGATTTCGATACATCAGTCATGTAAAAATCCCAAGACACAGTAACAGTAACTTTGAGGAATATAAGCAACAACAGGGAAAAAAAAGGAAATTGAAAAACCCCACTTTCAAATTAGAAACAGAAACCCAATCTCGCACAAATCAATCAGTAAAACCTTCAATCAGAATAAATAATAATAATTCCCAATTTTTGCAAATTTTGTAACATTTTCCCCCAATTTTTCCAATAGTTGCCTAATTCCAAAGAAACCCAATAAACCCAGCTGCAACAGATCTCCGAAACCACGAATAAAATCACAGAATTGGACAATACAATCAAAGATTCATGCAATTCAACACAAACACATAATACAGAAAACAAGAGAGAGAAAGTAGAGAGGGAGAGAGTTACAGAAAATTAAACCCGAAATTGAAGTCGCAAATATGCAAGGCGTAAAGGTTCTCTTCGAATTGGATTGAGGAAATTGCAGTCTCAAAGACCCAGAAACTCGAAAAAAGGGATTACCTGTTCGTCTTTATTCTCTCTCGCTTCGCTTCCCGACTTTCCACTCACTCCGCCACCATCAACATCAACTCGTATTAATCAAGTTTACTAATCTTAATTAGTTCCTCCTCAAATGACTGATTCAGCCCATCGAAGTTCGGTGAAACGACAGTGAAAGTCACTTTCCGAGGGGGCAAAATGGGGATTTCATATGATTGTTTTTGGAGTTTCATCTTTTTGGTCTTCATTGGATTTTCAACTGTTTTTACAAATTTTTCTGCCAACTACTTTGACATGAAATCGAAGTTTTAAGTTTAAGCGAAATAACAAATTTGTTAATTCTTAAAAATTTAGTAAGTTATTAATTAATAGAAGATAGCGGAAATGTTTACTTTAGACAAGAGAAGTTGTGAATCGAATCAATCTAATTTATAAATTTTCAAATGTTAAACTTAATTAATTAGATATTTAGTTGATTTCATACGCATTCATTCTCTAAATAAGAAGAAAAAAGTAGATAAATTTTTATATCAAATTTCAAAGTAACTAAGTTTTTTTTCGGCATTAACAATAGTAAAAAAGTTTTAAAAAAATAATTTAACCAAATGTCTATTTTTTTTCTTAAAAGGAGATCAGTTGGTGGTTTCGTCACAACGGTCCATTCTACAGGAGATGAAAAGACTTACAAAGACATTTCAATCTCCTCTAATATGATTCCCTAGTGTCAAAAATCGAACTCAAGACGTCCCTCCGCTGGCAACAATCATTGAATTTGACCCAATTGATGAATTGATGAGGACTTAAAAATTTTAGGGAGCTGCAACCTATGCAAAAGTTTTAAATAAAATAAAATGTCACACTTATCACACGTTTTATTGCAGAAAGAGTAGATTTTAACTGAGTGAGGATTCCTATGAACTCTATAAACTATAACGTCGATGATTTCTATAAAACATCATTGATTAGGATAGCAGTGATGACATCGTTGATTCTGATCTACTAAACAGACCCTCCATTTTCCAGTTCATTCACCCCTCCATAGCTCCAAGTTTCCAGCCGTTGGCCGGCCGGCCGGCCGCACATTTCTTTCACCCCAACTAGGGTGTTTCATCCTCACAGTTCCAATCAAAACATTGAAAAAATAGGCATAATTTGGCTACAATAATATGAACTACAAACTTCTGCTGGATAAACAGTTTTACAGCCCACAAGCCGAAGAGAAAATCCCAGTACAATGAACTATGCGTGCGAGTGCCACTGCTTCAATAGCAACAAGTCATTTAACGAGAAGTAAATGGAAAAGAAGTTACATACGGATTGTTCATGTGTCCTATACAATATGGATTTTACATGATCGTGTCTCTCACCGCAAGGCATTATTTGGAAAGGCAAAAGAACCCTAGTAGTCCGGAATGGAGGCAAAACGGTATCCTTTTGCACCTCTGCATGCATAATATGCAATTCGTGTCTCATAAAAGCCTGCAGGTCACAATATTTATAAAGAAATCAGTCGGTGAATCGATGACCTGAAACATGTATGAAGCATTTGCATAAGTTAAGACTTGGAATCAAATGAAACCAGTCAGCATATCAAAGTTCACAGAGAATTTCAGAAAACGTCTCCAGATAGCCAATTGCCAGACTCGGAAATACAGTTTACGCTTTACTCCTAAGCTCAAATAGTTACATCTAAAGAAATTCAACATTCTACCAAATAGAAAAGAGGAAATTCAACATAAGAATTAGGGAATTGATATGAGGCTATCGATTTGAGAATTGAATGCCGTCTCCTCTAGCCAAATGATTTAGTTTTCCTTATCTCTAATTGTATGGTGAGGTAATCGATAAGACAAATTTTCCAATGCTTTGAAATGATTCATTAATATTAAACTCTAAAATTATTGAATTATATATATTAGCATTCAATATATAGTCCGATCAGTTATATAACTCTAAGTTGTCACAAAGGATACGTAAAATTAAAGTACTGAATGGAAATATCTTTTGGGATACCTGGGAGGAAGGTGAGAACCCCAAGAGCCAAAAGGCCATAGGCTTGAGCCAGCTCCCCTCCCATGTGACCGGTGAAAATGAAGTACGAAAGAAACAGAAGCAATGATCCAAGAGACAGCAGGAAAAGAGCAAGAACTATGGATTTCCACGGGATTTTATCAAAAGACTTTGGCGTATAGTCAAACCGAGGGTCACTGGGGCTTCCATAAACATCATCATCATCCGTAGCAAGAGGGCTGTAACGAACATTGCGCCTAGATGCCATCACCAAGGATGTTCAACAAGACCTGAGGATCAGAACGGAGCAGATAACTAAAGCCGTCTCACAACATCCTTAAGGATAAAACGAACAGGCCCACCTCCTCGGACAAGGCATATGGGAAAATGAAAAACAACCTCAAACAGCATTTTCAAGTTACAACACTGCAGTTAAGGTGGCATAAAAAACGTCGAAAACCCATAAACCATTTGACAGGAACTTGACAATGCAAGATTCTATTTTTTCTAGGAATTAAGAAATGCAACCAATCAAAGACTATCATATCGAAATCTATATGATGGCATATAGGATAATGTATACTCCTTCGAACAAGGAAACAAAACTCTGCATACAACAAGCGCAGGCAAACATAGAGAAACAGTTTGAAGCACAGATTCATTGGCTGAAACAAAAAATAAACAATTTGCAGAAACAGAAGACAATTATGTTCAATTATTCGTATGAAGATCAAAGTCAATTAAGGCTAATTATAATACAAAATTCAAGCACAAACACAAAAATAAATGAACCAACAAAAGTACTCATCTGAAAAAACAGGACGGAAATAGTAAAACGAAGCATTGGAGGGCCCAAATGGATCCTAAAAAGCAAACCCAGATGCTGAAATTGCAAGAATTCAACGAATCTACTAACCTGAGACTTGCCCTTTCAACCGGCGATTGAAAATTTGAAACTTTTCTGCAAAAATTCTACAACGAAAGATTGAAACTTTCCTCTTAGTCGGCGAGAAGAAAAAAAACCCAAAAACTTGACAGAAAGGATGGAGATCAATTGGGTTATGGTGAATCAGTAAACGGTGGGGAAGAAGACTCGAAGAAGAGGGCAGAAGGGACCCGGGAAGGAGGGAAGATTTGGGTAACTGGGTTAACGGGCTCGGGTGAGTAAGCCAGTAAATGGGCTATGGTTAAAATTCAGATAAGCCTAGCCAAGCCCACACAATTTAGTGTTCTTGTTTTGTTTTTATTTTTCAAAAAATTAAAACACACCTTTTAAATTCCGTTTGATAAAACCATATATACATAGAAGAAATGATGGATACAAGATTGAAAGTAGGAAATAAAGAGGAAAGTGACTAAAACAATCATTTTACAGTGTGATTCAAATATCGACATATTAATCAAATATTGACATTTAACTTAAGGATAATGTTAGACAGTTCAAATTTGCAAATTAAATGACGTGGTTATTAGTTATTAGATTATTACTTAAATATTGATTAATGTGCTTATTTCCTATTGATAACACATCATTGGGTTTGCAAATTTGGTTTAAATTTTAGTCTCCTAGTATTACCAATAAATCAAAAGGCAACTAGCAATTAGTGGAATAAGTTGTAGACATCTAGCTCTTATTACATCTCTAGAGATTATCAAATTTTGTAAGAGTGACCAGTTTAGTAGAGATCGATGCCAACTTATGTTAGGTAAAATTAGGTTGGTCATCTTGTTACCATTGAGTTTCCTAAACCTAAACCCTAAATCCTAAACCATTTAGAACACACAGAATGCAACTAGCTAGTTTAGGGCAGCTTAACCAAAAATAAAAAATACAACTAGGTATATAGCTTTCGTATGAGTTGACTCGATCAGAATATATATGAAACGTAAAGACTGAATCGTATATAATTGGCTATGCATGTCCGTATTTGAACCCTGGAAAAGGAGGGAAATTAAATTAGTAGCCATGAGAGGTACAATGGGGAATTATAATAGAGAAAGAAACAGCAAAAGAAAGAACTGGGAAGATCATCTTTAACACACATGAAGTTTCCTAGCAATGTCTTGAACAAACTGGAAGATATATATTTCAGAGAATCCTACTCCATCTCCCCTCTTTTTTTCTCTCCCCTTCCCTCTCCTCCTATTTGAAAGGTTACGGTTAAGTCACGTCAACATTTTATATTAATTTTTTATAGCAAAAGAAAGGCAAAATAAGAGAATGTGAGAGAATGAGATGGAAAGAGGAAGGGAAAGAATCATAGTCCTATTTTAATATAGTGATTCCAATTAGAAAGGGGCATGTTTAATATATTAAAAGCTTCATCGTTTTAGGGTGCTGGCTTTATATTTATATACATACACATTATATAATGCAGTATAATGCAGGAGACATGCATGTGCAGTGCAGGTAATGATCTTTGATTAATAAACCCACATTATTGCATTATTAAAAAAAAAGAGGCTAATTAATTGTGCATGTATATATCCAACTTCTTTTTCTCTGCAATATGCTCGTGCATTTGCGTGCAGGGCACGTGCTTTCTGCACTTTCTTGTGAACATGCATGCATGTCATCGCTACTTCCTTCGTCTGTTATTTACTTTATTGCTTAGAGAGCCACTTCTTTAAATTATATTAGTGATTGATAGGAGAGGTTTAAGGTTCATGTCGTTTTGCCTGTAATGTTGTTTCTCGTCCTAAACCCTAATCTCTTTCAAGTTTCAAGACCTCAACCAGGGAGGATTTTGCAGCACTTATGATCTAAATTTTATCGTAAACTGTACTGCTAGTGTTTTTCGTTAAGCTTTAACTTATATATAATCAAATATTAAACTGCAAATATCTCTAAATATCTTCAATTAGATATTGTCTGATGCAAAATAGTTTTGTGTTTTCAACTTATCAAGTATTAATTTAGGGGTAGTGCTATCCAGACATCATCTTATACTTTTACGCACCATTTTCAATTTCGGTCATTGGATCAAATGAATTGAAGAATATCAATGAATATAAATTAACAAAACAAGTATGTAAAGTAAAAATAAATGTGTAAAGAGCACCATCCTTGATTTAACCCACGCACTTTTGTCACTGGAGCAAGCAATGCATGCATGCACTCACAAACTCCACTACCTCAAGTCACCATCATGCTTCAAACTTTATAAGCTGCTCTCTTATTTCAAAAGTTGAGTGATAAAATACGTCATAATGTTCGACTTTAGAGGGACTAATAAAGAGGGTAAAAGAGCTATTGGAGCAGTTCTGCTTTATTTCAAATAATGAATCATTTCTAACAACAAATTATTCTAATTAGTTGCAACAATTATTCATTATATGAGAAGTGCGAAAATGTACAATATGATTAAGAAGCAAATCATGGTAGTTAACATGATTTGAATTTAGTTTCTTGTTGAATTATTAAAGTAAATTTATGGTTTGATCCATAATTAGAGGTACGTTATGGTTCAAACCACATTAATTGACAAAAAAACTCTTCTTACATACAAAAAGCATGGATAGATCATTGTTATAGAAAGTAAAAGAAAATCGAACTTTTCAAGTATGTTCTGAAACCAAGTAGCGGCACGTTGAAAAGAGATAGCCATTATATGAGGTGAGTTCTTACCAAGCTATACAAGGATCATAATCATAGGTGGAGATTTCTTTTATTGATTAGCACTCAAAATAATTAACTTTTGCTTTTCCTAACTGCGGCTGAGATGAATCATCGCATAGCTTTTAGATTGTCTTTTTCGTGTTTGATGATGACTCTCATAAAAAAGTGATAAATATCTGCGTCTCCATCTCCATCGATTTCCATTCAAGTGAGGTTCATGGCACTCAGTTTACAATTTAACAAAAATGGCACTTACCCTAATAGTAAAACAGCTTTTAGTAAAAGCCTATCTAGCTATTTAGCACTTCCACTGCTTATAGAAGTGCATAAAAAATTAATATTATTGTGACTTTGCGAGGAATAAAGTATATATTGCCTAACAAAAGGGATTCAAAGACCATATAATTTAGTACCCCCGCATGGAACTGGATCCCCTTCTGAACTTAGGAGGCTGAGCCTCTTGAGCAAAGGATCCGGATCGTTGAAATTTGATCAAACGGCTACAAATAGAGGGTCCTCTAAAAATTATAATAATTAATTACAGTCGTTGAATCAAATTTTAATAGCACGTATAATTTGCTCAGGAGACTCAACCTCCTAAGCCTAGGAGGGTATCCGGTTCTCTCCCTCTCTCTCTCAGTTTTTCTTTTATTGTTTTTAATTTCCATTTCGACAATCTTGCATGATTGGGAAAAAGTGAAAAGTTTTGTTGATGTATTATTGGCTTACAATTGGAGAGAATAATATAGCAAAGTTTAAAGAAAATGTTCTTCGCATACTTTTATTAACAAAACGAAATTCTAAATTATTATAAGTTACGAAATAAGGATTTGAAATTGTATGCACGTTGCCCTATCTAACACTTATTTAATTAGCATGATTGTGATGTGCATGGCATCCATTATTCGAGCTTAAACAAAAATTTTGGTACCCATTTTTACCTCTTACATGTTTTTTGTTAATTTATGTCATTTGATATTCTTTGATTAATTCAATCTAATGACCAGAAATTGAGAAGGTTGTTTGGGAGGTAAAAATAAGGGTATGGATATTGAATAGTCCCACCATATAGCTTGTAAAAAGGTTTTAGCCATAAAAAGGTTAAATATATAGGGAATTAAAATTGATGACAAGTGTCGTAAAATTTGCTTGGATGCTGATTGTAACTTGTAAGCATTGGTAGCAGTTGCTATTTTCATTAGGGCATGCATCCAAATACAGGTGTAATTTTGTGGACTTGTGAGTCTGTGAAGGCAGAAAAGAGCAAGGAAGAAAAACAAATAGGGAAGCAAAAGCAGCTGGATGAAGCTGTAAACCATATAATTATGCAAAACGGCAGGCAGACAATCTCTTTGTTTGGGTCACATCCAATTGTCATATTAATACAGCACGAGTTTACATGTGTGACCATGTGGCCCATGCCAATTCATGCAACGTTGAATTATATATATATGATGAATCAATTGTTAAATAACAATGTTATACACTGTATTCATGTTACATTCTCTAATTAAGATTAGTCTTAATATTATACGTGAAACTTACTTGCATTAGAGAGTACGTTAGGATTCTGGCCGTTAAATTACATGTTAATCTAAAAAAAATCATTAACTACATGTTAATACACGTGATTTTGTGGCTTCCCATAAGCTTAGACCAAGATGAAGAGCTGAGATCATCAAATTTCTTTTGACTTAGAAACACTTGTAAGTTAATATCATTAAACTAACACTCCACTAACAATTAGAAAATTATGAAAAGGAATGAGCTTAGAGATATAAATGATGATTATGGAAAAACGGATTGTATTTCAGGTGTGAGTGGCTTAAAGATTGCCACACTGTCGTTTTCTGTCTAAATAAGTTTCTCTTGTGTGGGAACCTAGCAATACACATTCTTAGAAATAAGCTTAAACATTTTAACAACCAAGAAAATAAAAACAATTCATATATTCATAGGACGGATAGCAACAAGATATCTAGAAAATTTAGGATCCATTCAGTAACGTTTTACAAAATGATTTTTTTAAAATTGTTCTGTAAACGAATATGATATGAGTTTTCAATTTTGTGATGATTTGAGAATGCTTTGATGGTTTAGTTCAAAAATGATTTTAGAGAATGAAAACATTGAAAACAGTCAAAACACGTCCGATACCAAATGTAATATATATATATATGTATGTATGTATGTATGTATGTATGTACGTATGTATGTATGTATGTATCTATAATACAAATTTATGTTTGGTACAATGGTGGAGGTGGTGGTAAGGATGTGTGTGTAAAACTGGGGGTTGGAGTAGTGGTGAAAATAAAGGTGTTAGTGGTGGTGGGACATATGTGGTTGCAAACCTAGGTAGAGGGCGATGGCGGAGGGCATGGTGGTGGTGGCGGCGACTACGATGGTGGTAGTTGTGTTAACGATGGTTATGAGGGATGGTTGTGAAAATAGTAGTTGAGAGGTGAGGATGATTTGGCGGAGATGGTTGAGGTGGTGGTGATTGTGGTGTTACTGGTGGGCATGATGGCAACGGAGGTACAAGTTATGATGGTCATGCTAAGATGGTGACGATGTCAGTTATGGCCGTATATGAGTTGGTAAAGGTGGTGGTAACTATGGTGACAAAGGTGATGATGGTTGAAGATACGGTAGTGGCGATGACAGTAGTAAGAGGTGGTGGTGATAGCGACATTAATTTTTATTTATTAAACCTCTAACTTTTTTTATAATGTCTTTTTTATAAATTTTATTTATTTATTAAAACTCAGATATTATTTTGAAAACCATTTTTGAAAAACGGAAGAAATAACAATTTGAAGTTTTACAAAACTTAAGCTAAACATTGGTGTATGTGTTTTTCGTTTTTTATTATATCTTCACGAAACAGTTCGTCAAAGGCGTTTTTCACCTATTTTTATATTTAAAAAAAAATAACAAAAAACTATTTTCCAAAATGGTAACGAATAGACAGGTGGTGTCTTGGTAAACAGAAAAACGAGTGGGAAAAAATCTGTTAAATCCGGATTTTGTTGAAGGTGATGACAAGTATTGACAACCTCAACCCTCTCTCTCTATCTCTCTGTTTTTCTCCCACCGAAATCTCGGACACAATTTGCTAAACTCAAGGCCAACAATATACACACGAACATCACAACGCCCACCAACCCTTCTCATCGTAACTCCTGTTCTTCTTGTTCTTCCATTAATATTTAAAGGGTTTTTTTTTTTTTCTTTTTTGTAATTTAACTAATCCAAGCTTCAAGGAAGACAAGCAGCTAGCTCCGATACCGGACCCAGATTCGACACTGCCGGAGTCGGACCCATCCGCCCGTCTGAATCTCTCTCTCTCGTGTTTTTGTTGCTTCGGAGAGAGGGAGTCTGCAGCATTCCGGCAACAAGGTAAAGCTTGATGTTTTTAACGATCTCTGTCTATTTTTTGGACCATATCCTGCACTGGATTTTGTTTTTCCTCAAATTTGATTGCGGTTGATTTTCTGGGTTTTTGTTGGAAGATTTAAATCTTGAGTTTCATCCATAAAGGCTCTCACGTTCCATATGTTGCACTTGCTTTAGTTTTTTCTTAATTTTTTGGAACTGCATTTTCTGCGTTGTTTGTGATTTATTTCATATTTGTTTGTTGGGGTTTTCAGGAAATATCACATTTTTACACTTTTATCATCCTTTTGATGGGGACGAATTGTCGGTCTTTTCCTTTTTCATTAAAAAAAATATCAACTTTTGAATAATGCTTGCGTCCTTTCATTGGAACCTACTTGTCCCTAATCTACGATTAAAAAATCTTTAACGTCATAATCAAGATCATTATTCTCTTTACCATCATCTAAAAATCATATATGCAAAAAATTAAGTTTTTGCATATACAACAAATTTAGACGATAATAAAAAAAATGAACAATTTCAATTATGATATTTGGACATTAAAAATTCATTAACTGTAACTGAAAGGATAAGTAGGTTTGCTCATGGAATAACACGGATCAGGATCCTCTCGATGAGGATCCGAATAATCAATCAATCATATTTGTTTATTGTATATTGTGCGGTTATTTTTTGTTAAGTATTATTTCTATTCAACTTTAAATAAAAATTTCAAAATAAATTCTAACTGTATAATGAACAAAAACGATTGATTGGTCATTCGGATCTCACGTAGAGGATCCTATTCCGGATAACTCAAGCGTCATCTTAACATTTTATTTATGATTGCTTGCAATTTGCAAACCTATTCATTTGTCTTCTTTAACATCGGTGGAAGTGGCCCAAGTGGGGTCTCCTGCCGTTTCTTCTACCTTTTCATTTTTAATATCTTCTTTGAAACTCAAAGTTGGAGCTTCCTTGAAACTCAAAGGGCTCTCTCTCTCTATCTCTCTCTCCCCTTAAATGTATGCATCTGTCAGTTTGAAATTCATACAAAAAGATGCAGAATTGTTTTCCGGGTAGGTAATGCTGCAACTTTTGAGAATTTATGCTTTGAAATTTGCGTACTTTTTGGTTGATATTAGCAGTGGTTCCATTTGCAAGGATATTCTTTTGCTTCTTTCTGTTTCTTTTCATTTTTAATATATTTTTTGAATTTTTTTATGCCATTATTAGTGCTGCAATTCTGAGATTAGATCAGTTGTTGCAAGTGATATGTGAGCGTAAAACATATATTAGCATTTGTAAGGCATGGTTAATTTGATAGCTTGTTATCTAAGGTAATTTAATCATACTTTAATAGAACATTAAAGTGGTAAGTAAGAAGTTTAAGAGCAAAAAATATGCTGATCAAGCCTCATCAGGTTCTGGAGTTTCTCCTCCTCCCCCTTAAAGAGTGAAGAAGTTATGCAAATCTCATACTTCTGTGATGCGTTTTGTTTCAGTTGTTCTACGTAGGAACACAAATTGGACGACTTTGTGAAGACATCGTTGTGGTTGGACTTGTATGATCTAAAAGAGCTGCGATGGGTGGTTGCGTGTCAACCCCGTCCAGAACAATTAAATCACGGAAGAAACACCGTCAGAGAGTCAGCAAACGCCATGGAAACATAACCTGCTCTGCTTCCGATGGTACCAGGAAAAGAAATAGCGGTGCCAAGAAGAGAAACAGCGATGCAGGAGCTCGCGTAACTGATTATTCTGTGAGCGAGTTTGTTCATATGGACTTTGAGAATGGCGCAACAACTACTCGCAGAAGATCTAAGGTTTCTAGTTCAACGTTCCAACTCACCCAAATGCAGTGGCACCACCAATATGATTCAAATGGTTTGTGCTCCATTTTCTTCAGATTGCAACATCTTTCAACCGAAAATGCTGACAACTTTTTAGCTCTTGAATCTCATATTTTGAAAGTTATCACTTGCAGTAATATCCCAAGAGGAAGCTTGGTTCGATTCAGTGAGTATTCTGGAGTCTGACTCGGATGATGAATTTATCAGTATACACGGAGGTATTGGTCATCAGCCTACAACCACTTACACACACACACACACACACGCACGCACAGAGTATAGACATTGGTTTCGTCATGTTTGATTGGAAAGCGGTTTTGTTTTGTTTTGGTTTTAATTTTCTTCCCTTGTTCAACAGATGGTTTTCCATTAGGAGGCAACCCAATTGGGAATATCTCAGGTGGCCAAGTAGTTCAGTACGAAAGATCCGCACGCTTTGTGGATAACGGGTGTAAGTATGAAGAATACCAAAGCTATACAAAAATAGATGGAGGTATATCAGATAAGTTCATGGGGAAGGCTGACGAACTGCGTAGCAAGAGGAAGAATATTCAGGATCATTCTTATGGAAGCTTTAAAGGACTTAGAGAGGATCGACGTGATTCTAATGAAAAAATTCAAGACAGTATGCTTAAATCTGGCTTGCCACGATTGGTACCTTCTGTAAGTTTCAACGATAAGATTTTAAGTGCGCAGAGTTTGGGTCCACAGGCACAAAGAAAGCCATCAGCAGTTTTCAGGCTTTCTTTTAAGAGGAGATCGTGTGATGCAGACGAAACCATTGAACAATGTAAGTATTCAAATACTTTAACTGTCTTTGAATAGGAAGAAAACTTAGAATTTTGAGATTGTAATTGAGCATATCATCGATATATCCGCAGGTCAATCAAGAAGGTTTCTGTATCGTCCTAGACCAGGATATATCATTCCATGTTGTAGAGTGGAAAAGCTGACTTCAGGATCTTGGTCTGAGATTCCACCCTCAACTTTTAAACTCCGTGGCGAGAACTATTTCAAGTATGATTTTGGTTTTTCTTTCTTAAAACCAACCTCACTGAATTTGAAACTAGTTACTCTTTTTTCGAGTTTTCTTTGCTCTAATGAGAATAATATTTTCTGTTGATCAGGGATAAACGAAAGTCACCTGCTCCAAACTACAGTCCATATACTCCAATAGGTGTTGATCTATTTGTATGCCCCAAGAAGATACATCACATTGCCCAGCATCTTGAGCTTCCCAAAGTAAAAGCCGATGGAAAAGTGCCTCCGCTCCTCATTGTAAATATACAGGTACTCTCAGAGAACAAATTTATGCTGGTATGTTTTATTATTTACATTGTTCTCAACTGTTTCTTATGGTATTGCTTTCTGCATTATTGCAGTTGCCTACTTATCCCGCTGCAATGTTCCTTGGTGATAGTGATGGAGAAGGAATGAGTCTCGTAATGTATTTCAAAGTTTCTGAGAATTTTGAGAAAGACATCTCTCCTCAATTCCAGGACAGCATCAAGGTAACTTTATTTCGAATTACCTCTTTGTGAAATTGTCTTGGACTTAACGTTTGGATTATCTGTTGGTATACTCAGTCTATTGATCTATGTGATGTTTCAGAAATTGGTTGACGATGAAACGGAAAAGGTTAAAGGATTTGCGAAGGACTCCATTGTACCTTTTAGAGAAAGGCTAAAGATCATGGCTGGGTTGGTTAATCCTGAGGATCTCGGTCTGAGTTCTGCTGAAAAGAAGCTTGTAAATGCATATAACGAAAAACCAGTTCTTTCGCGTCCTCAGCACAATTTTTATAAGGTAAACACTGAACGTTTGACATTGCTAAGTTTTACAATACTGGAAAATACCACGTCTGTTTGACTTCATCAAGCACTCTCACATGCAGGGTCCTAATTACCTTGAGATCGATCTGGACATTCATCGCTTCAGCTACATATCGAGGAAGGGTCTCGAATCTTTTAGAGAACGTCTGAAAAACGGAATGCTGGACATGGGTTTAACCATCCAGGTAACCAGAAACCCTGTCACATTCACTAATGCTGGCATATTCATCGGTTTGTCTCCAAATTGTGTTCGTGTTACTAACTTGCTGTTTTCGTGCTTTTTGTAGGCACAGAAACAGGAAGAACTGCCGGAGGAAGTGCTCTGTTGTATGAGGCTGAACAAGATTGATTTTGTTGATCACGGCCAAATACCGAGTCTTGTGACCATTGACGATGAATGACATAGAGGATGAGATGCAGGGCACGCCATCTAGACTTACCGATATACACACATTAGTGGCGAAATTGGTGATCGAGATGTTCGTTTGTAGTAGCGTTTCAATAATCGCGATTAATTAGCGTTAAAATACATATATACTGGTGAGTCTTGTATAACTCTGTAGCTTGTATGTATTAGCATTAGCTTGATAAAACTAGTTTAGGAGTTAGGATTTATTAGGACTAAGGTTTAATATTCGGATTACTTTGGATACCAGAGCAACAATGTGTTTGCAATTACTTCTTCTCCTTCGAGTCCCTTTTATATCACAAGTTCACAACTTAGATGGAATTGATGATACAATGTTGGACAGATACAACTTGGATCAGTTTGATGTCCAAATTACAATCATACTATAGATCGGATTGGTTTGGTTTGGTTTGGTTATAACTGTAGCTATTGGTTGAAACCAAACAAAACTGAACCATGGTTGGGTTATGGATTTGATGTAAGAAATGGGTGGGTGACGTTGGTCGAGTAAGTGGGAAGACAAGGGGTCTACTTTTTTAGAGCTCGTTTGAAAATAATTTCAAAATAGCTAAAAGTGTTTTTTGATGAAAATGTTTTTAAAATTAATACTTAATAAAAATACAAGTTAATCATGAAGAAAAAAAAAACACTTAAAGTGTTTTAAGAACCTAAAAACATTTTTACTAAAAGTATTTTCAGTCATTTTAAAAGCATTTCCAAACGACCCGATGGGGAGTGGACTCAACCTCACAACGCGACAGCTATAATGTGATTTAAATTTTCATTTAACGAGAATCGAAGTTAAGACATCTACTTGCAAGTTTCCACTAAATCGTAATACAAAATTAAAAAAAATAAATAAAGGGCAAATAAAAAAGTAACTAGAATCTCTCAAAAAAATGTAAAACAGAAAAAGCATTTACCTGACGGTGAGTTGAAAAAGCGAGGGCGTATTGGGAAATGTGGTTAGGGTTTGACTATAAAATGATGGAGGAGGAAGGGAGGAGAGAAAATGGCGCCCGAGGCCGGGCGCTTCCCTCTTAAGGAAGAGGCGGCGTGGTATTCCACGGGAGAGGTTTATTCGTGGCGCACGTTAGTGCGTTGGGCGCACATTAACAACCCGGCCTTCTTTCTTCCGGGGGAGGTTGCGGTTGGGGGCTCCATGGCCGCTCTGCTGCTCCAGTTTTTGCAGCACAAGCGATCTGTTTGCCCTACATCTTCCTTTTTCTCTAAACCCCCAATTTTCTTGCTTCTAAAATCTATAAACCTAATTTATTGCTTTTAAAATCTCTATAAAAAAAACCATTTGTTTCTTTCAATTTGTGCTTTTTTTTTTTTTTTTAATTTTGGGATTTGGATTAATTCAGTCGTAGTTCATTGTCCCTGGTCTCTGATTTTTGTTTTTTTGTTTTGGTTTCATTTCCCCTATTTTTTGGTTTCCACAAGGAAATTACAAATTTGTCCACTCTTGATTTGAATTTTTCAAAAGGGTATCAAGTTTTGATTTTGAATTTTTTATAATATGAAAACCACTATAGCATAGTACTCAAAGAAGCGATCTATAAGCAACCAACAATTCGATTAGACAAATGAGCCGTTGACGTGAGTTAGGTTAATTAATTACGACATTCTCGCTATTTTTTTGTACTCGAGTTAGGTTAGTTAGTTAGGATATTATAAAATATTGTTTTTCACCCGTGCTTTAATATCCATTGCGTGAATCAAGAGTAATTTAGAGACATCACATCGTCAATCAAACAGATAAAACAGAATAGTTGTTTGTAGACTTTAACATAATACTATATTTGCATTTAAATAAATGAAATTTCATTATGCCCATCATATAATTCAAGAAAAAAAAAAATCTGCAGCACTTGAAAAATGGAAAGGGCAAACAGTTCTGGCTTTGTGAAAAATTTGATTGGGGTTGCCTAGATGTTCGCTAAAAATGCCCGATGGTGGTGTTGCGCAAATTTGTATGAAGAACTTAGACTTTCTTTGGTTTAGGGCACAGAGTGTACGTGACACATGAAATAATGTGGCAAGAGAAAAATGTCTTCTGAGCTCCAAATCGCTTGATTCAACAAGCATTGCCTGCTCTTGCATAATTTCTCTTGAGGAAATTAAGTTCGATTCATCACACGTAATCGCCCTTGCCATTGTCGTGTATAATACAACTATTTGTACAAAGATCACTGTCTCATATGGTCACCTCTAAAGGCTGGTGTTCTACCTCTGTAACATAAGCGATGAGCAATGTAACGAGTAGTTAATATGGTATATGTATAATAACACGATAATTTATGCTCCATTTGGATTAAGATTCGCGCGCATACCTCTTTCGAACCTTGATCTTCGAGATACATGGCGTATATGGCTTTCGTTCCTCCGCAAGTGTTCGTCGATTCCACATTGCTGGGAAAGTAGGGGTCCGGAAAACTCAATGGCACGGTTCTCTTCCACAACGGAATCCTATAACATTGTTGAAGGATAAGTCGTAGTGATTAAGTGTAAAGCATCTGGATCAACTGTGTCAAAGACGGTTGTGTTCTCTGTCCTTACCATGTCGTTTCCTGTATCATCTGGCTCTCCTGTACTAATAAGTTCAGACGTGTCGAAAGTTCTAAGCTTTCGTATCGCAGTCTTGCCAGTTCTATATCCTTGTTTTAGGTCAAATGTACTCTTTGCGAAATTTGCGTCAAGTGCACTGAACTGGCTTTTCGAGCCATCTGAAACTGCGGATTTAGTACCATCCTCAGTTCCCCTTTTTGCCCATGCAAAGCCGCTTGCTGCTGAGATTTGTACGGAAGACAATGTGCTGTATCCTTGTGATGCATTCAACTCGCAATTCTCCGAAACTGTATCAAATTGCGGTTTTAGATTAGACTCTCGGCGCAGAAGCCCTCCTTTCGCCTTTGGGATAAACGGGTTACCACCATTGATTCTACGAGCAGATTGAGTATGATCGTCTTGCCCATCCTGCACAGTCAAAGGATAAATCACTTGGTTAGAACTAGCTTGCTTCTTGCTTCTAGCTTCCATTACACAAAAACACACGCACGCACAGGCAAGCAATAAGAGATAGAGAAAGACCTCTTTTGGTGCCACTTTAGCGGAACCATTTGACTCGTGCAAGGCCTTACGGACTCTCCTTGGTTTCCTTGTTGTCTCTCGTTCTCGAATACCAGGTCTTTTCCTGAAAATGTAATACAGCCGTCTAATTATGCCAACGTAAACATTAAAGCATGGTCTAATCTACAAGTATTACATTTGAAATCACTTCTATGTAAACATCGCAATTAGAAATGGGAAAACACCTGCAGAGTCCCACAGACATCTGAACTACAACCTTAGTTTAAACGAAGAATTTTACCTTTGTGATTCCTCCCGATTTTTAGCATCCATTTCTTTTGTAGGAGGATACTTTGGCAAATGTGACGGATCGCAGGCATAAGGCTTTGTTTTGAAGTACTGGAAGAAAAGAGGCCATAATAAACAAGTAAATCACCAAAGGCAGAATTTTTATACTCTTACGAACGTCTCTTCAAACAATGCTGAAAGTAGTTTTCCATCACAAGTTTGAGAGTATTTTCATGGAATTTTACCTCGGACATTAGGGCAGAGGAGGCAGTCCCGCGCTTGTAAGGTTCTACGGAAAGGAGATTCTCTAACATGTCTAGTGCAGTAGTTGGAAACTCTTTACACCTCTCCTTAAGAGAACTTTCGTAATTGTACTGCGGTTTAAACATAGTTGCGTGAGGAAGCTTTGACGTTTTCCAGTATTCTTCAGGTGGCGACCCACAAAGCTTGAAAATTTTGTGCAATTGTTCGACCTGTAAAACGAGAGGGGAGCGATTAACTTCATCTCGAATTCTAAATCCCATATTGCTAATGAGGACTATTAAAAATCCATAATCAGAGAAACTTAGCGTTGGACATTAACATTGTAATCACCTCAGTTCTTCCTTTAAGGAGAGTCTTTCCTAGAAACAGTTCTGCAAATACACAGCCGACGCTCCAGAGATCCACCGAAACTCCATACTCAGTTGCCCCCATCAAAAGTTCAGGGGGACGGTACCACAAGGTCACCACCCGACTGGTCAGTGGTCGCTTGCTCTTTGAGTTAATGACATTCGCCAATCCAAAATCTCCCAACTTTAGAATCCCTTCGTTGTTTACCAAAATATTTGAGGCTTTGATGTCTCGATGCATAATACCTCTTAAGTGACAGTGCTCGACTGCGGAAAATAGCTGCCTCATATAACATTTAATCTACACAGAAGAAAGACCAACCAAACTTTATTGACTTGTATGGCAATGGTCACACGGTTCAGCAAAACTTGTTAGGCAAGAAGCTAACCTGCATGTCGGTGAATTTGATCTCGGAACTAGCTACAAGTCCTGCAAGATCGTGCTCCATGTACTCGAATACAAGGTATATGCTATTTGATGATCGAGATGTTATTATTCCGTCCAGTTTCATGATGTTCGGATGATCAAGCCTGCGAAGAATCATGATCTCTCTAGCCATAAACCTAATACTCTCCGGTTGAAAATTGTCAAAGCGTACTTTCTTGAGTGCAACAATCCTCCCAGTTTCGACATCCTTTGCTCGGAACACACTGCTGTATGTACCTTGTCCAATCTGCAAGCATTCGAAATGAACTAATGTAAAAAATCGATGAACTGTAAGCAAATTCAAAATCTAGAACAATGTAGGTCAATCCATTGGAAACCAACATTGAATTACATCAAGAACCAAAATCCCATTACAAGATTCTTGAAGGCTTCCACATTTAAACAAACTAAAGATGTGCACTTTCAACTAGAACAAACACATTTTTCGATAGGAGGATACATTTTCCACTCGTGCTTCGCACTCTCGACAAACTTCAAGTTGGGGCACAACAAAGAATAAAGTAAGCAAATATGTTTTACTTAAAGAATCAAAACCAAAAGTGTGGACGTGGGCGCAGTCATAATGACAATAGCGCATACGTGATCCTCTTGTTCATTTCGAATTCAATTTATCACCTCGCAATTTAGATTAGTTTAAAATAGGTTTAAAATAGTATATCGCTCGTATCAGACAAAATCAAAACCAACATGGATGAAGGAAAACATCTGCGTGATGGAATCTAAAATGTGATTATTATACGTAATAAACATCGCGTTAGCATTTATTAGTGATTAATTAATAATTTCATTAAAACTACTGCAAAATGGGAAGGTGATCAATCAAAATGTACCTTTTCCAACTTCTCATAAGCATCAGCTTTGAGGGGGATCCACCCGTATATGGCCTCGCCGGCGGCGGCGCT